TTTGCCGGTGCCCTGTGGCCTCTGCCCCCGCCTGCTCTTGGCACCAGTGCTGAGGCCCAGAGAAGTGGCGAGGGCAGCRCCAGGACCCGCGGTGAGACCCTGCAGCCCCCTGATCCGGGAGAGCTCCTCGGGGCGCCGCTCCGGGGCCTCTGCTGCCTTCCTGCAACTGAGAGTTGGTACTGCAGACTGGAAAATCCGAACTTCTGTGGAAGTAGAAATGAGCATTGTTTTTATAGTTACACTTGAAATATTGATATTATTTTAGATATTTTATCTGTTACATATTTCAATTCTTGTGTAACTATTTTGTATCATCTGAATTAATTTTTAGTTAAACATATTTTATTATTTTGAAGCCTCATTAAAATATGGGTTTGGTAGTTCATGAAAGATTAATTTATTCCTGCAGTCCTTTGTTTTTTACAGCGCATGTTATTTTATTGTAGAAATTATATACATTGTCTTGAGTTTCATTTAAACCCAGTTCAGAGGTTTCTGTGCCGCTCTAAGTGATGTATGGATGAGCAGCGCTTTGCTTGTAGCTTGTAGTGCTTCAGCCATGGGTTAAAACTTAACTGCTCTGAAACAGGTAAATTATAAGTCATAACTTTACAATATAACTTGTACACTGATTCATAAMTAGATTGGAAGTTACATTGTAAGGTTTAAAATAGTAGAACTGGAACAACCTCTGGAGTGTCACATTATCAAATAGCTTTGAAATAAAGGTTACTGTGTGCAATAAAAGKATGAGAAAATATTATTCTGAATTAGTACAGTAGATATTTCCAAAGCCAGCCATATAACTGCTTTTAGTTGCTTTTAATTTCTTCAGAAAATAGTAATACGTATTTATCATAAACTAATAAGGAAATATGATTATTTGCTACATAAGAAAATAAGACGTTACAAGAAACTTTCTTTCTCCTATCTTGTAGAAATATAGAATACAAGACACATGCATTACTTCTGTAGCAATATTATATTGCATCCATAACTGTATTTATCATTGCATAAGTGTAGTGCAGTCCGATGTCTCTGATTTATTTCTTTTATTTGTGAATTTAGTTATCTGGTATTTTTATCATTCATAAATACAATACTTAGTATATGGAAAAAACTCAGCTATGGTAAGAAGTTTACGATTGAAGGTTTCAATAAACCTCCTAAGCACCATTTCAAATCTGGCCTAGATTTAAACCAGGATTTTTATGACAATACTGTGATTTCATCAAAATAATCTGTGGCAGTTGACTCATTTGTTTTTCCAGAACTGTAAACYGAAGGCATTTTCCTGTTTATTTGAAGTGTTTGCAATGTGTATGTATCTGCAGTCAAAAAATGGCAACCAAAGAACCAACAGCATGAGAAGGCTACATGAGAGAATATATGTGATTAGACTAAATTATAATTAATATCACTGAAATTATATAATGTGAATTATAATTTATGGAATGTGAATACTATTAATGCAATTGTCAGTAATGCTAAATTTTCACTGACTGTTCAGTAGATGCTCTAAGGTTGTGTAAACACATTATTCATTTTCGATGAAACAGTTTGCATTATTGTGGTGGGAAAGCAAACGTGTGTGTGTGTGTGTGTGTGTGTGTGTATGTATGTATGTATGTGTATGTGTCTCACACCCTCCTGGCTGAACCTCTAGGGAAGTCCGCAGGAAAACTGATGTTGACTTCAGTAGCTGAGAATTAAGTCTCCGTTCAATCTCTACGGTTAAGTATGAACAGAAGGATAGATCCAAATGTGATATAGATAAGGATTTWTTGGAAGATTTTGGCTGCAAGTTTTATTATCACATTAATTAAATTACATCATTTAAGTAATGAATATTTTACAGAGCATTACTAATAATTGCACCTTTTACTGTTCCTCCTTAATACAATGACTTCACTTTAAAAAGTAAAATGATTTTGTCCAGAGGTAGATAGCAATGTGAAATATAGAAGTTTTAGCTTTGTTTTTCTTTGTTTACAAACATGATATATAACTAAATATTACCAATCATTTCATCCTTAAAATGTTTCAGTTTGACACTGCAAGATATTTGTATTCAGTGTCTCTGAACAGAAAGTAAATATATATGTAAATAACAGAGAAATACTGTTTGGTTTCCACTTCCAAGTTGGCAGTTAATTCTAGGTTGTGTGAGTGTTTTTGCTGTGGGCATGGGGAAATTTCATGCTAGAAGTTCTCAGTAATTTCAGTGTAAAAATCTTTGTTCTGGAGCTGCCTACTTAAAATGGGTCATGTTTTGTGTTCTTGCTTGTAAAGACTCTGTAAGCAGCCATGGGGAGGGTGCGCATAGTTATTATAACTGAAAAAGAAATGTAGCATTGCAAGTGTCAATGACTGTGAACTTGCAATGCTCAATTAATGTGATGAAATACGTTCCCTAGGCTCTAAAACCTTTGTCTGGTCCTAAGGAGTGAAACCTGCAGTCAGGATTTCTTAGAAGATCTCTGCAACGGGTCAAATGCCTTTGACAACGTCCTTGCCAGGCTGAGTGTGTGTGTGTGTGCTGCAGGGCTGCTTGACAAAAGCTGCTGGTCTTCAAAGGGGTCAAATTTATTTAAGTGAAAATGTTATGATTTCCAAAACAGCACCTGATMAGTTGCTGACGAGCAAGTGTAAATGATTCTCAAAAACCCAAGCAAGCAAAAACTTAACTGCTGTGGGAAGAGAAGTTGAAAAAATCCTGGATGAAATTTGAGATATTTTGAAAAAAGGAATAGTTCAAGTTCTGCCAAGTGTGACCAAGTGTGATTGCAGTAGACATCCGCAGTTTGTGACAAATAGAAATGTTGGGATCACAACCTCCGTGTTAACATACACTGCAGTCAAATACTATTTCACTTTCTTTGATCGATAAAAAACTCTAAAGCCCAGACTTTGCAAAGCATAATGTAAAAATCTATCAGAGAGAGCTGTGCTCGTTGTCTCTCAATGGCTTTTGTATCACACATGCTCCTTGTTTGGTTAAACCTTGTTTTTCTGTATGTGAATCCTACTGAGTCCATCACCAGCAGCAGAAACAGATCATTTCCCAGCAAATTTCTAACTCCATTATTTGGTGCAGTGTAAACAACCTCAACGCTTATTTGGGTATAATTGATATATTTGGTTGAATAGTAGTAATGCACAACAAAAAATGAAAGCAGCTGTCAATGTACAAGTATTAAGAAATAGGAGAGGCTGTACTTTGCAGTGCCACAGTGATATTCCTTCYCAGGTGGGCAGGGAGCAGGTATGTTGGGAGCCAGGTACGGACTGCGCTGGTTTTTGGSTTAGGCTCAACTTTCACTACCTCAGCAGGCTGCTGAAATGGCTGTTGCAGTAGTCATAAATTCTTCTATCTGATCGTGTCTTCCACGTGATGATGTTACGGTCATGCCTGCCCTTTGCCGTGGGCCGGCTGCTCATGCTCACAAGCTGCTCAGCTATTGAAAGCAGWTCTGTTGCTGAAAGCAGCTTTGTTGCTTTGGTGTTGCTTTAAGTGCGTGCTTCTGATGTCCTGTGCCCTCACTATAGCCTTTCAAAACTTCTGTGTGCCTTTTAAGAGTTTGCCTGTGTTAAAAATTAGTAGATGGTAAATGCTTTTAACAGCCTGCACATGGTATGATATATGCAGTTAGCGTTAAAGTTACAATTGAGATAACCAGTTTTTCTCACAGCACAAAATCAGTTAAACCTGAGAGATCTATCTCATTGATTTCACTAAATCCAGAAATTCTTCAAGTCCATTTTAGTCTTTTTTTTCACTTTTCCTCTATTCCTCAGCTTGAGTCACCTGAGGCCAAGTGATGAAAGTGYCTTTTTTGCCCTTGTGCAGCCCCCAGGCACAGGTGTAACGCCAGCTTATTCCTCCTTTGCAGCCCTTCCCTACGTAGTGCGTGCTCAGGGTCGCTGGCCTTGGGTTCCTCTTCATGTGGCTTGCCTCTGCCTCTCTCAGTGCTCTGAAGCAGGATGAGGTGCTTTGGTTCATTTTGCTGGGCCATGTGCAGGGTCTCTTGCAGCAAGAGGGGTGTGAAGGCCATGTTCCCCCCGAGGAAGCACTGCCTGCATGGGGCTTCTGCGGGAGCCTCGTGCCCGCACATTGCTCCGCGTTCCCGCCGCTCCCGCAGCGGCTGCCGCTCCCATCGCCCCGGCACGTTCCCCTGCGTGAGCGGCACAGCGAGCAGTGCTTGCCAAAACTTTGGGTCCCGAATTTGCAAGCTCTGCTCTGATGTGTTCCTGCTCTCAGGGATCGGCTTGGCCTAGGTTTTGCACAGCAGCAGGTAGTGATGGGRAGCACAGCTCCCTGCTGCTTCTCGGGGTAACTCGTCACGTGCAAGTGAAGTAGCAGCTGTTTTTCAGGTCACTCGTACTACAGAAYTGGGTAATGAGACAATCCCCAAAGGGGAGAGGACCCCCCTCAGCTCATTGCCTGCTCTCCAAACCAGCACAAGTACCCAGCCCAGCCGTCGCTCAGCCCGCTCTGTTTAGTGTAGGCTTTTGCTGGCCGTTTTCTGGGTGATCTCTAGAGGTCCCTTCCATCTCCAGCCACTCGGTGATTTTCACAAAAATGTTTTGCTCAAGACTGGTGTTTTAGGATGGTAACARCCATAGTTTGGACTTCTGCTATAAAGAGCCAGACATTTTCTTGTGCTGTATAAACAAGCTGATCACAAGTTTTAAAACAAGTATTAAAGATGTGAAAATATATATTACTCTCAGCTGCTTTTAACTATAAGCTGTGTAATTTTTCTTGGATCACTATGCTAAACCATACTAAGATGCTAAAATAATTGTTGCTAGCTTTTTAGTTCCAGAATTTCATGTCTTAAAGATGAAATATATTGTTTTTGCTTATATCAATACAGAACTGATAGGATTATTTTTGCAGTAACAGCATTATCTGAGCTTTATGTTTATGTGAGAGAAAAATCTGACCCACAGTTTCCAAGCAGAAATTTCATCTTATGTATTCTAATCTCTTACAGGTCAATGCACAAACTGACTCAGCTGGAGAGGCTTGATTTGGGCAATAATGAATTTTCTGAACTGGTAAGAAATGCACCATTTTTAGTAGCATGCTGGTGTGTTTGGACCCTTTGCCAACAGGCACTTTTACCTAAAAGGCACGATGATACTGTGGCTGCACGTTGCAGTCATGCTTGTGGAGTAGAGGATTTGCTGTGATTCATAACCTAGAAAGTCATATTGTAAACTTCATCTACATCAAGCATCTCTAATAAAACCTAATAACGTTTAGGAATTCATAGTGTTGCCTAGAAGACAATATTTTTTTTTTTTAGTCAGACTTTAATTAAAAGTAGCAATATTTTTTTTTGTACAGAACAATTTTTCAGAAGTTCTGTGGGATTTTGACCAGCAGAATATTTCAAGTTTCTCAAGTTTAGAGTGTGGTTTTTGTGGGAGCTGGTTTTGCAGCCTTTGCTTCATGTTAATTCAACAGTCTCCAGTTTTTGTGTTGTTTCATATGAAGCACAAATCAGGAGTCCCACAGCCCTGTGCTGCTGTCGGGACAGACCCCTCACGTGGGCTGCTCTTCAGGAAACTCATCCAAAAATGTGTGAAGGAGGGAAGGCYGGATGTGAAATGGGCCAGCAGGCAGGGACCCAGCTGCACACAGAAGTCATGGTGACATCTAGTGATGCTAGTCCAAATGAAGATCATCTGAGACCAGGGTTATAAGGGGTCCTGTTCTCATGTATTCTGAAGATCTGATTTAGTTTCTACTGGAAATTTCTTTTTCTGGGAGTCAGATGCTGCACAGAGTTGTGTTCTTGGGAAGGAGCTGAATTTTTTTCTTGGACACTCCGTCCCTGTCAGGGTTGTGCTGGGCGGCCCTGTGCTCTTCATGCTGGCGATGCTGTGCAGTAAGCATGAGATAGGATTAAAGGTGTCTGCAAAAATGAAGTAATTCTGTYCGTTAATTTTCTGCAAGCAAGTTTATTCAAATCATGTGATAGATAAGTGGCTTTCAAATAGAAATTGATGCATCCTAAATAGCAACCGTATTCAAGTGGCTTCAGATAATGAAGGAAGGGAGTCTATTTTCTGTGACATGAGTGTCAGGGAGAACCAGAGCACAAGTCATGGGACAAGTTATGGAGCAAGGATTTTGAATCGTCCAGGCTATTTAAGTCTCAAGCAATGGAAGCAAACTAACGATAGTAGCACTTGTAGTACCTGTGCCAGGAAAGAAGGGGACAGCTGGTGGAGTTACTTTCAGAGTCTATGAGTCTGGTCTCAGTTGCAGGAAGGCTTCAGAAGTTCTGAAACAGAAGAGTTGAAGGTGTGGAGAAAAGGAAGGGTAGGTTGTAAGATGCCTTTATCAAAGATTGACGCCAGTGTTTGACTGTGGTGATCTTGTGATGAAAATGGGAATATTTTCCAAAAATGCACTAGCAGAAGCATTTCTAACAGGGATAAATAGCTTCAGAACCACTTACGAGGACTCTAATGAGATGCCATCTGGATTATGGTATACGAAAATCCAAATTCAAGGAACACAAGACTGAATGGTGTCTGGTTTGAGAGGAAACTAAAAAAGTGTTTTTCTAATGATGAGAAAGAAAATTACCTATGATAGTCTCATTCAGTAAACACTTTGGAGAAAAAAAAAAAAGAACTGCTGATCATCACAACCCAAAGCTTAAGTTTAGAAAAACATCAAAAGATTTAGCCTAGAAATTAAGTGATTTTAACCATGAAAGGACAACAATTTCAGCAAGGATAGCTGAGGCAAAGTAAATCATCTTTAAAGCAGTGCTGAATCATTTCTTAATAGAAACACGTTGTGTGAGTGCATGTAGAACTGCAGATTAGCAGGTACCCTCCTATCTTCGAGGATATTCAGAGGGAGCTCCCCCCATACCGTGACATGGTCAACAGGAAAAACAGATTTATTTGGGGAATTAGAATATCCCAAGGTAGTTTGACCACAGGAGATAATTGGAGTTCTCAGTTACGGTGCAGTGCTATTAGGCAGGTGTGTTTTTAGCAGCTGTGTTGAAACAAATCTAGTGCAATAGTACTCCACGCTTCAGAATGCTACAGTGTGATTCAGCGTGATGCAAAGGAAACACTTCATTTCTGTTTCTACCAGTGTTTGAAAAAACCTCTTCTAGAGGTTTGGCTCTAGAAGTTAGGTAAACTGAAAGTCTTATTTTACATGTGAGAATAGTGTTTCATGAAGAACAGAAACACTACTTAGCCTGAAACACCAAAATACTTACAGCATGGTAATCTTGATTTTCACAGCTGTAAGGATTAAAAAAAAAAATTCTTCTTGGAGTTACTTTCTTTTCAATGTCTATCACTGTCTATCACTGAGGTCCTCTAATAACAAAACAAACAAACAAACAGAATACCTTAGATTAAAGCTTAACATTATTGTGATTTTCAGGCTTGATCATTGCATACTTCTATTTTGCACTATTGGGAATGATAATTGCAGCCATTAAATTGTACTATGAGCTATATCCTGGAAAGCATTCAGTAATCTGCTCTTGTTAAGCTATTTTTGAGMCTAGAAATTAAGCAGAAGACAGACTTAAGCATGTGCTGCAGGATGAGATTTGTCTATCTTTTCTGTGGAGCTCTACAATTCTCCCTTATTTGCATTGTTCATCAACTACATATTGCTAATGAATTATCTGGAAACAGTAGAACTTCTAAGGGCTTTGCATTCATTTTTTATTCCACGTACTTCTAAAATTTCTTTTATGTTTGAAAAAGGGAGATCAAAAGTGTATGTCAGTTAATGTGGTCTGCTGTTGCTGTCATGAAATTTCTGTCCAAAGTGAGGTAGAACAGAGCGAGATGAGCAGGGAATCGGGGCCAGGGGAAGAGTTGCAAAGCTGCTGATAATGTTGCCTGTTCTTTCCTCAGCCTGAGGTTCTGGAGCAAATACAGAATCTGAAGGAACTATGGATGGATAATAATTCTTTGCAAATACTACCTGGGGTATGAACATTTATTTTATATAATCAAATTCTTGTGTGATACAATGACATACATACTAGAGTTTCTCAGTTGTTGTTATCCCACACTGGAACTCTGATTTTCAGTTTTTATTGGCATAGTTATTTGAGATGATCAGTTTAAAATGCCTACCATGATTATGATAGGGAAAAGGAACCCTTTGTCGTTAGGATTTTACTACACAGGCAACTGGTTTTATGTTTCACACAATGTTTTTCATAGGTGCAAGCAAAAATCAGCACTAAAGCTTTTTATCCTAAATGTGCTCAGGTACATTGTAAGAAGAATGCTTGGCTTTGAAGATATATTAATGAAAATTCACTCTTTTGAATTGTCTGATGWTTTCATCTTAAATAATTTGTTTTGTGTTCATTGTTGTTTTCTGTTGAGCAGAATGTTTGCACAGAAAATGGCAATTTTCACTTGCTGTCTACATACCCAATTTTTGAATGTTTTGTTAATGAAAAACAAGCTGTAGTTGAAAGTATTTACTGATAGAACCAGCTGGAGATCAGGAACAAGCTTTCTAATCAGTATTTCTTTTCAGTTTCACAATGAAATTGTKTGGTAAATGTGTTTGAAACCTGCTCCTGCTGAGCTAGTGCCTTCCTCGGGAAGAGGCGCCCTGGTCCTGCTGCTGTCARTTCCAAAGAACTGAATTGTTTTCTGGGAATAAGTTATGTTTGAATCGAGAGTTTAGAAAAAGCTAATGTTGATCAAAATTTTAACCTTTAAAGATAGAAAAAAATGCTAACTGAAAATGAATCCTGACATCCAGAGATGTGCCAGGTGTCCAGTGTTGATCAATTGGCTAAAATATTTCTGGTACCAGAAATAAAGATTACATTCAGATACTGGTAGGGGTAGAACGACAAAGCTTGGGATGCGAGGGAGGTTCCCCTTTTTTAGCACCCAGAGCTGGTGGAGGATAATAGGGTGTTGCCTCCTTAGAAGCAGAGACTGGATCTCAGCTCTCAGATGAGAGAGAACAAGTAATGTCCATATTGTGCTGCAAGGAGGGGGAGATGGAGCTGTCTGGAGGAACTTGCCCTTTTCATGTGTACAGAGACTAACAACTAAAAGCCTATGTAAATAAACCAAGGAATTGCTCATAAAACTTCACAGGCAGCTGCCATAGCCTTCCTCAATCCCTGGGGCTCCCTTACAGAGCCAAATGCTTGGCTGTTTGCTTTGTGGTCTGAGGGCTTCCAGTCGGATGCTCCTCGTCTGGCCGGTGTGCCTGTCCGTGGCGCGGGAGGCCGAGCCGCGCGGCCAGGCCTGGCCCAGAGCCTTCCCAGCGCCTTCCCAGCCGCCTCCCCTGCCACCTCTGCCTAACCCGGACCTCTCGCTCGGGGACATTCACGGTTGTTGGTTCTCTTGGTGAACTTCCACGTCGAGAATGAAGTGACAGTCTTGTAATAGCTGATCAAGAGGCAGGTTGCTTCTCCAGGCAGCGATGTAGACAGCCCTAGTTCAAATAGTTGGTTCAAAGCTCAGTGATTCCCAGCAATTCATTCAAAATAGATCTTGTCAGGCTTCAGATACTGAAAAGCTAAATAATTTTTAAGAGAAATGAAGKCTGAATTCCTCTCATAAACATGTTTCTCATTGATGTTATCCCTGCAGCTTAAACACTCTGCTCTTGAAGGGGACTATTAGGCCTGAGCTCTCAGAATTGAACTCTGCATATTTGAAGTTTAATTTTAGATTTACAAAATTCATAAAAGGAATTTGATGCAAAATATTTACATACATGCCTAGCTTCAGGGACTCTAAGGTCTGCCATTATGAATAGAAGTGAATCATGAGTTCATTTCCCTTGAATCTGTGTCCAGCAGAGGAAGTAACACACCTCTGTGACTGTGAGAAATCAAATTGTCGGCAGCCTTGATGAATCTGGAACATGTGAATTTCTTCGGTATGTGCCACTTAGTTTGCTGTAGTTGACTTGTAGAATTAAAGGCTAGAGAATAATGAAGAGCATTTTAATAGTCCATTGTCTGTAAACCACTCTTGTCAGCTCTGCCCCAGCCTTTCTTTTTCCTGAGCTTTCCTGAATAGGAATTTTACTGGACCATTAGTGATGGTTCTTAGTCAAGTGAATCTCATGAAAAGCATGCTGAGATAACTGTAAACCTGTATTGCTGTTGTCTTTTATCAATTAATCTTAGAAAGCAGCCTGCAGTGTATATATGTACAACTAAAACTTTTTGTATCATGCTATTAAGTCTATAGGGAAGTTAAAGCAGCTGGTATATCTGGATATGTCAAAAAACAGGATAGAAACAGTCGATTTGGACATATCGGGTTGTGAAGGACTTGAAGATCTCTTATTGTCATCCAACATGTTGCAGCAACTGCCAGACTCCATAGGTGAGAAAAGCTGATGCAGTCTTTTAATGTTTTACAATGAAGGATTTCATTGATATCTTTTCAGTAGTGATGAGGTTTTATTAAAAATCTGAAACAAGCAATAGTACTAAATTCCAAGGGAGCCYGAAACATCTGATACCTGGACAATCAAAAACAGCATTTTGTAAAGTCAAAATAAGATTTGATCTAGCCATGGGTATTATTTCATCCAAATTTAAAAATACATATAATAGTATAGTATAATACTGTGAAAATAATACTGTTAGATAATACAGATAATAAAATATGTTAAAGTAACATTGATTATTTTAACAGTTAAAATATGCCTTGTAAGACTGTACCACTCTTGGTTACAGTAGCGTGATTCCATATGGGAGCATTTAGCAGAGACATAGATCATTTCTGTTTTGGCTACTTTAGATGCACAGATTTCTCTAGAAAATGTAGAGTTCGTGGAAGGTATTTCACTGGTTATCTCATTGCAGTCCTAATTCCTTCAGAGACACTGAGATGGTTGTTTCCTTCTGTTGCTTCCAGGAAATGAGCCCACTAGATCATTATCATCACTTCCATTTTCCTAGGTGCATTCCTTTRTATACTAAACCATTAGACCCCCAAATTTAAATTAACCAACTCAGAATTCTAGTACTACTAACTCGCACTGTTGCACTAGGTAGKACTGCTTACCAGCAGTATTGCCTGAGTGGTGCTAGATGTGCTTACAGCTGTTTTTATTTCAGTGTTTTATAATGCCGTAGCATAAGCACGCCAGTGTTTGCATTCTGTCATCTTCTGATGCACGTATATGCAGATTGCTTTTGAAGGGTRTTTAGCTTCAGTACAAAAGGAATGACTTCATTATGAAATAAACTTTCTAGCAATGAGATATATTCAGTTCTTATTTCCAAATTCTAATTACTGAGTGGTAAACAGATTTAACTGAAGTAAGAATGTAAAGAAGATGGAAGCAAAATATTTTTCTGTTACTTCTACTGTATATGTGTCTCTAAAAAAATGTGATCTGTTTTGCAGGACTGTTGAAAAGGCTAACAACTTTAAAAGTTGATGACAATCAGCTTACAATTCTGCCAAATGCAATTGGAAAGTGAGTATAAGTCTCAAGATTTCTAACATTAAGAAAAGCATGTTTTTTACTGTGCTGTATTTTTTTTTCCTGAAATCAAAAATGAGAAGAAACACTGAATTATAAAATAATTTCAAAATGTGTGCCTAATAACCATCTTAAAACAATTTAAATTTAGAGCAGCATCYATACTTCCATGGGCATAGCCTGGCCTGGCATAAGTGAGGAAAGATGAAATGTGTCGTAATTTCCAAAACAAAGAAGAAAGAGATATATTCTCTATGTATCACTTGCAATTTAGATGATTAGAGCAACCAAAGTAGAAGAAATTTAAGTATTTGGGGAATATGTCTGTTTCCATAGCAACAGTCAGTATTTGGTGAAACGAAAAAGACTGTAAATCTCATATATATGAAAATTTCCAAAGATACTGAGGTAGCTTAAATGAAAAAGTGATGACAATTTTCATAGGTGTATACATCAAAATGTGAAAGGACGGTGTAAGTGATCTTATTACAGTCTGCTCTAATGATGCCCTTTAGCTCTCATTTCATCTGATGTTATATGATCTCTGGTGCGAAGCTGTGTCTTGTGCAATTGTGTGTAGAGCCTTCTGCCACAGTCCTGAGCTTATTGCCAAATGAAATCTGTAATTTATTGTAAAAATTCAAGACAGGTTCAAGTCAGTTTCTGAGACAAGATTTTGAGTTGCGGGCTTCCAAGTGTGTGATTCCTAGGCAACTCCTTTCCTGGCAGAAGGTATCTTTAATGCTGGCATTTGTAAGATGCCACTTCCTCTRCGTATGTTACTTGTGAAATGCAATCGGAGCTGACGTTCGGAGGCTGGTTGGAACGCGTGCTCCCTGGCCACCTCCCGCGGCTCCGGCGCTCGCGTTTCCAGCCTCCCGCTGCCGCCAGCAGCCGTGGTCGTGCAGAAGAAAGAGAAGGCAGCTGAGGAAATGGTTAGTTGTCTGCCTGGCACCGTTCACACACGCTCGTGCAAATGCTGGGCTGCCAGCACAGTGTGGGGAAGGTGATGCCTTTTGGCACCCCTGCCTAGTCYTCTTGTCCATAGCACAAAAGTTGTTCTCCCTCAGCAAGCTCTAGCTCGACAAACTGTCTTTTATTAGAAGTAGTTTTCTTAAGCCGGGGCTTTTCTGAGTTAAAGTTCCAAAGCCCTGAAGGCTTCAGTTAGAGTCTCCTTCTCTGGAGATCTTCAGAACCCCTTGGACACAATCCTGTGCCACCTGCTCTAGGTGACCCTGCATGTGCAGTGAGGTTGGACTAGATGATTTCTAGAGCTCCCTTCCAGCCTTTTGGATTCTATGAATCTATGCTTCTATGATGGTAGTCACTCACTACAGCGAGCTCTGTAGAACAGCAATAATAGCCAGCACCTTATTACTCCTGCATTGATTTTTTTAGTGTTATTTTCAGTAGTAAATTAACTTTTGATACAAGATTTAGAAAACAAAATGAATTGGTGAACTATTACCGTAGTAGCAATCGAGAACTCAATTTTGGCTTGCTGTGCTAGTATTACTGTGTCTTCAGATACATAGGTTTTTCATATAAGAAGTAAAGGAAGTGGTTGTGTGAATCACAGAAGGGAAAAATCTTACGAACAGCCCATGTAGCAATACATTCATTCTTGCAGGCAGTAAAAGCTCATAACACTCAAAAGTGTAGTGAACATTATCCAAAATGATTGATATTATTACTAGTATTATCTTTAATATGGGGGGAGCGTCACTTTTTAAAATCCTGCTGTGAAGATGGTTTCTTACTGAATTGTTCAAATTAAAAGAGAGGGATCTCCACTCTTCTTTTTTTTTTTTTGCCTACCATCTGCTCTTGCAGTGGAACCTTTATTAAGTTTCAAGGATGGACACTTCTGCTCTAAGATTTGTCTTTGCAGAACAGTAGCCTCATCACATAATATTACCACACTAGTTTTAAATGATTGGTTGTGCTTGTGATTGAAATTTTTCTAAATCGGCCTGATGAAGGTTCTAATTGTTATTGTCAACTTGGTCATCATCCATAATCCATCATCCCTGAAGAATCAGTTTATGAAGGACACAGTTATTTAACCCTGGTAGTTACAGACAAGAAATGGACTTGCCCAGGGAATTTGTTGTTTTTTTCTGTGGCCGTTTTCACTCTCCTGCTGCTGATGGCACCAAGAAGGAAGGAACCTGAGGATGTGCAAGGCAAGCAAGGTCTCTTCAGTAAAATTCTTGTGTCTGTTGAAAGTCAGGCCACAAAAACTTTCAGTTACGGTTCAGAGGATCAGATTTTCACATTTCATTGGAAGCCTGGTTACTCTAAGGTAGCTCATCTGTTTTAAAGCTTTTGGTGATTGTGTTGTCGTCAGCTGATGGAGGGGTCTGTGCATCTTGCAGCTTAATAAGCTTTCAGGCTGGAATTCCCTCTGTCGAGGTCTCTTCCTCTTTTCATCTGCACATACTTTGTGCAAGGTAGATAAACATGTCTGAGTTTTGCTCTTAATACAATTTTTTTCCATGTACTTTGAAATAAATTGAGGTAGGAACAAAGGTGATATTAAAAAGAAAAATAAACCCAAAACCTGTCAAAGCCTTTGTCTTGTTTCCAGGCATTTCTGTCATTCATCACACTGTAAGTCACTTCGTAGCCTGTTGAAATRAAGCAGTTATGGGAGAGCTCTGAGAATGCCACATTACTAGCACCTATTTCTGGCATCACATTCCATAGACCTTGCAGGCTTGAAAGACCTTTTTAATAAAGAAACTGGGACAAAAAACTGTTAAGTGAGTTAAAGATCTAATGAAGATCCATTCCTGCAGCTGTAGCTCACATAAAGAGTGAGGAGCAAGATTAGTAGGACAGATGCTACCTTTTACTGGATCAACCAACACATCTGATTAAAAACTGAGCTTTTGGTCAGATAGCCCCTTCATCAATGGGACMGGATGATGTCATACATGGAAGAAATAATCGCTTGTCACTTAGCTTTATTAATTATCACACTTGAAATAAAAAGGTAGTAGATGRGGAGCAAAACATGTCCAGCACTAGCAGGGACTGATGCCATTAAACCTTTTGTTTGGTGGTATGGAGAAGTAGTACAGCGTTACTTTTAACATTTTTTTCATACCCAGTACATTATACCAGTATTAAAGTAATCAGTAGATGTCAGGGTGAGGAGACTCTGTAATTTCACTGCAGAACATTGTCTTGCTCAGAACGGCTTTCTGCCCTGGGTTGTTGCTGTGGTAGTCCTGGGGAGCAGTGCCTGTGTGCATCACCCCTGCCTTCCTGATGGACGAGTGTAGAGTGAAACATGCTCTCCTTTAGGCTGAATGTATTTGGAATGAGTGGATTAAAATTACTCTGTTAAAAGGAGGAGGGAAAGGATAAGTGTCCACTCAATAATAAAATGGTGCACACTGGGTTCCTGTGCACAGTTCCACTTAGCAGGGTTAGCATTTAGAAAGCTCAGTGCTATGATCAGATGCTGAGAGGATGTCTTATTTCAGTTTGCTTTGGTTCAGTCTTTGCCATACAGATGCCCTTTCAAGATTGCTTTTTGGCTGGGTCTTTCATAGTGTGTGAAAGATAAGCACATTTACAAGACAKAGGTCTTCTGCTTTGTTAGCTGGCAGCAGCACGCTGAATTACTGTGCTGAGTTTGGGTGCAAGTCTCATCTTTCACTTCTGATCTTTTTGGAAATTGTTGAGTACATCAACTCAAATATGCCTCGCACGTTTTCTACTTCTGTTCTATTTGTTGTCATCTGTCTTTGTATGTTAGATTGCATATTTTCTGGAACAGGGACTGTGGTGTTTGATTCTGTAAGAATTGCCAGGGGCRCTGTTTTCTTGGGATACTTTCTTGCAACAACTAGTACGGATGGTAACATGGGACGTTAGCTACCTTTCTTTCTAACTAATTCTAAATGAGATTCTAACTAATCTTTCTGAAACAGCCTTGCCAGCTAATACTGACCAACAGTGTTCCTAGTAGTTACTGAAATAGTTACTGAGAGCAGATCATTTTTGACATCGYCTGTGGGATATTCCTTTTTCAGGATACAATGTTTGGAGTAATGGGATATTTCAAAACTTTGAAGAATTTTAGCTTGTTTATTTTTATTATTTAACCTTTGTATATCTAACAAATGTATTTGGAATTTCAGTTTATCTATGTTAGAAGAATTTGACTGCAGCTGCAATGAATTAGAGTCCTTACCTGCTACTATTGGCTACCTTCATAACCTGAGGACGTTGGCTGTGGATGAGAATTTCCTTCCTGAATTGCCCAGAGAAGTGAGAAGCTGATTCTGTTTCTAAATTACCAAGTGTTCCTTCTTCCCTACTGAGACAAAATATCTGATAAAGCAGTTATTTCTGCCTGATGTGGAAGACCAAATCTTTCCCATATATTTGTTCTCCTCATTTAGAGGAGGTAGTATCACTGAGAGGAGGGGTGCAGGTAGCCCTTATCATTTCCCTGATCTTAATGACAAGGGATTTTTTTCTGACTTGGGGTTCTCTACTTTCTTCTCTTCTTATTTAAAGTAAAGAAACAATTTAGCCACCCTCTGACATAAAAAGCTAGTGATAAAAATCTTTGTCAAGTAAGTATCCTAAAGTATCTTTGTTTCTTTTCATTCCCTTAGATTGGAAGCTGTAAAAACGTCACGGTTATGTCTCTGCGCTCTAACAAGCTAGAATTCCTTCCTGATGAAATTGGTCAGATGCAGAAACTGAGGGTGTTAAATCTGAGTGATAACAGGTATAGTTGCATAATTTTCCTAATCTGCATTGGAGGAATGTGTTTACAGAATAGTTTAACTATTTTGTTCAGATATATGCAGAATGGATTTATTTAAAATATGTTTATATAAAGTATATAATCCCTAATAATATTCAAACTATGTGGGAAAAATCCTGAACTTTTTTTATCTTTATGATTGGGTCTTGGTTCTGCTAAAATTGAGGMCAAGATTTGAGTCTCAGTGTATTTTTATAAATGAAAACCTGTTTGCCTCTCACCTCTTTTATTTCCATGTGAAAATGTCACTGATATACATAAACACTTAGCCTCAAAAATTATGTGTGACTTCATAATACTTCATGACCTCATCAAAAAATTGTGACAGGCTACTTTGTAGAACGTCATTAAATGTGGAAAAAAAAATAACACTGTTTCATTGGTCAGCACCAAGGTTTCATGAAAATACCAAATTCTTCTGTTCTTATGCGTATGACTCTTCCTCTGAGAAGTGCTGGCATACTTAAACTGAGCCTCTTGATACCCATCCCTAGCTCCCATAGGCGTCAGAAAAGACTGTTTTATCTTTGAAATAGATGCAAATGTTCCAAGAATATATTCAAGTAGAACACAGAAATCCAAGTTTGGTCAAAAGTATGACAGATGATAATTGAATACCAATTTCTTACCAGTAGCCATCATCTGCAATCAGTAAAAATTTGCAAAAGGACTTTGCACATCTGTGCCACATTTACTATGCACAATTTAATTGTTGAAATTAAAGTTAACCATAAAATACAGTCATATACAACATTTGTATAACAGCTGTAAYGTATTTGTTTAAAGCTGTTTACTTAATTCTTCTAGATCGTTTTCCTCACTGAAGTTATGTGTTATAAAATGCATTAAGAATGGACCGAAATGGAAGGTTAATCGGTTTRCATTGGAACTGTCCAAGTCCCAGACTCAAATTGCGTGTCTGTTGACTTTGGGTTTCAGCTCTCTAGAGCTCATGAGTGTGTCCCTGCAGTAGGGTACGTTTGTGCTTTTACCTGTACAGCTAAAGCCCAAACCTGTAACCCTTAGAGCTGTCTCAGRCTGATGTTCTTGCCTCCAGAGGCATCTTGCCCTCACTGTTGCTGCCTTCCCATGCCCCATGCTGTACTAGGTGATTTGGCTGGGTAGGTGATGCAGTAGGAAGCAGCCTGTTGGGAACACAGTGAGTTGGAGAGGACTGTTCCACTGGTGAGCTGTCATGCACGTGGGCAGCAGGAGCAGAGCGCGTGGGGGAATGGGGCAGCAGCGAGGCAGCACCGGCCTGCAGCATCTCAGGGGCTTGAGGCCATGTGGCTGCAGCACACGTTCCCTGGTGCATCAAACCCATCAGAGTTGGTCACTGTGCTCCTTACTCSTGCCTGTAATCATGCCACGAGTGTGCTGAGGAAGCAAAAAAAAAAAATAGTCTTTTTGTTTTTTAGTTTTCTGCCAGGYCCCCCAAGCAATTTCGGATTACGTGAGCACTATTGCTGAGGCAGAAGAGGGAGGAAGGAAGTGCAGAGGGTAGGAGTGGGTAGGTGTTCCTGTTCTGATGTGGGAGGCAGCTGCCACCGAAGCAGTAGGCTTACCCCACCCTCCTTTCCCTCCTGCTACTCAGTTGGAGAGAAAGTWGGGACCTCCGTTTTGGTAGAGGTTGACTATAGGACCACCTTCCCCATGGTGTGGTCCCTGGAGAGGAGCTGCCACTGTCCTTTCCTGCTGCCTGTTTGGTGCTGGCTGGTAGCCCTTCATCTTCCCTTGCACTTAACTCAGATGCTCTGTGGACAAATCACTGGACTGATTTAACTCACTGAAATGACAAGGGATTTTTATTGTTGCATTAGATCTCGGCCACTCTTCCTGAGTTGGATTTGGTCACAGTGAAATCTGGCAAACACCAAAGTCAGCCCAAGGAAAACAATGGCTGAGCACGTAGGCAGAAGAGCGTGAGGAAGGCAGGAGAAGAACAGGCCCTTTGTGTTTCAGCGGGGGAAGCAGCTCAGCCTGGACGCTGTGTCCTGTGGGCAGCACAGCTCCAGGGGGGACAGAATTAGTGCAACAGGGGTTGGGCCGCTTGAACCAAGTGTAAGCAGGGCAAAACTAGTGTGAAAGCACAGCCTAGCCCTGGMGATCCGAGCCTTAGACCCGCAACCCTTCAACTTGATTGAATTGGCCCAGGTACCTCTCTTGGGGGGGATGGTAACTTTTACCCCTTTATTGTTACCAATTTCAGCTAAGATTGAGTGTTTCCCAGCTGAGACATTGTGTAAATGCTTTTGTTGAGGAATGTTCCACCCTAAACTGTAAAGTTTCAAAGTTTCAGCACCAAGGAGTTTGAATGTTCAGCCAWAACCTAGACTTTCCCATTTTTCAAATTTTCCATTCTAGTATGCATGTTAATATCAGGAAAACGTCCATTTTTTCTTTACATGGTCCCCGTGTTTATGCTAATAAGGAGATGCTTGGGCTCTGCTTGTGGCTAGGAATGCTTCCCTATTACTGCAGTAGTTTTGCCCCTCCACTCTTCCTGCTTGAGAGATGGTAAAGGCAGAGCACAGCTGCTCCTCTGGATGTCCCTTTGAGCCTCTGGCAGAAGAGATGCACGCATGGAAGCAGAGCAGAAAGGATGCTCTGCAGCCACCCCTCACCCTGCAGGGTGCTGAGTTGCTGASTCCCAGCACGTGGGTTAGTCGCTTCTGAGGTGAGAGTGAGACCTGATCCCTGTGATCTCCTGGGCTAAGGCAGATCTGGCCACAGCAGGCACTGCTAGTGCAGCCTTTTGCCCTAAAAGCTCCAGTCTTTGCACAGCTGTGCTGAAGAGTGCCCATTACTGCCCCTACTAATTAGGAATGGGGATGGACTSTGCACAGTCAGATCTGGTCAGTCACATGGTAATCTTGGCTGACTTTTTCCCCTATGTTACCAGGGGGATTTCATATCCATTCTGGCAGRTGTTCTGTTGTTATTGTATCTTTGCATGTTACCTTTGTTGTAGAGGGAGCGTATTCCCATTTGGTGGATGTATAGTCTCCTCCACTGGGGATCTGCCCACTGCAGGTTCATCGAACCATCTTTATTCCTGACTCAACAAAATACTCTGGTCTTGAATTCACTTGGTTTTCTTGATCTCTGCTACTAGGAAGAGGAAGAGCACTCTGATACCCTGCTGATTCAGAGGCCTTTTACACATTCTGCATCTCAACACTTCTGGTTTTGTGGCCTTGTGTACCAGGTGTTTGTAGAGGGAGGCCCTTTTGCCACCTAGAATGTCCATCTGGACTTGTTGCCCATGATAAGGGAATACGCTGCAGCTCGAGGCTTGTGGCATACAGGGATCTTGGTGCATTGCCTCAGCAGAGCACGTGGCACGGACGTGCTTCTGGTGTGCTTTCCGCGTGGCCACACATACAGGGATTAACAAGTTAGCTAGGGTGTACCCTGTAAAGAGGACAATAGGAGGACCTTCTCACTCATGGGAGATTTTGTCTCAGGATGGAGGCAAACCCGACAGAGGCTGCTTTGCTACTTCAGCTAAGTACATTTTGCTCAAAGTGGGGTTGGTACTTGGGGTCACTCTGGGGTGCATTTTTAATGCTGTGGTTTCTGTTATTGCAGTCTTTTCCCTCTTGCTCCTTTCCTTCTGGAGGTCTTCAGCYCTGTAAAATGGACCTTTCTGATCCTAACTGACTTGGCATGACAGTCTGTTTTGGTTTGAGGATTTTCTCCAAGTGCTCATATTAGAATTCTACTTTAAGCAGGGAATTAGAGTCCTGTTTTTCTTTCTCAGGCCTGCACTGTAGTACTTCATCTGTACCTCTCATCTCCAGCGTTGGGAGCCCTCTCTCCTTTTATCTTTGCAGGTCCAACCCTTTTCAACCCTGTTAGAGGTTCTTCATGCCTGGGAGTGCAGTATTCAGTTGTCTCCACACAGTCAAAGGCAATGGTGGGCTGACATGCTCTCAGCTGACTAAGGTGGATGCTCCTATGATAGYAGGTGTCTGGCCAGAGCTTAGGTGCCTTCACCTTGTGTTTTGAGGAAAGTTTTCATTCCAGATACCTGCAGGGCAGCAAGCGGGAGCTTCATCCTTGCCTTCACCAGGCATGGTACTATATGAAGTTCTTCAAGAACCAGTGCAGCATCTGATAAAATACTGCTGCAGTTGCTGCTTGYGCAAAACATACCAAGGCCTCCACCACATGATAGATTACTGGGGGGAGCTGCCTGGAGTCACCAGTTGTTAGAGTGCACATGGGATTCATTCAGAGAAAAACGATGTCTTGCCAGTAACCGATGTTCTTCCAAATGTGTAGTCCACATATACATTTGTCTTCCATCTGCTTCTCCTCTCTCCTCAGAGTCCTTCCAGGTATGAGTCCTGTGATTGAGAGGTAGAATTGTTAGAATGTACATTTGGGCTACACTTCTCAAAGAGCATCGGTTACTGGTAAGTAACCTTTCTTTTAGTTCTAGTTGTTCTTAAGGAAGCTGTTCTAGAGCCATCACCTCTATTTTACCTGCTTCTGCAAAGTGTCTGAAGTATTTGACATCAAAAATACTACCCTGTTAGAGAACTGCTTAATGATGTTTAATGTATTGCTAAATCTGTGAGGGGTATAGGACACCCTCTGGRGTAATAGGATTGAATCCTGGTGGCCAATTCTCAACCAACCAAATGCAAATCTCACCCATAGAGGTTAGGTGAAAAAAGCCACTAAGATTATATGATCTATTGAAAATAAAGAAAAAGGTGTGTTCATTGGAGTATTGTTTCTTTTTCTGTTCAGCTATTTACGTAAACAGTATTGTCAAAGAGTAAATGATTTCTGTCTCATTGTATCCAAGTGTGTTTGTAGACAGTAAAGGGATGGAGTAATACTGAGGATTAAACTTCCACACTGAAAACCCAGTAGAGTTTTATCAATGTTGCTTAAAGTTACCTTGGAGAATTATCATAAATAGTAACTGTCTGTGGGCTTGACTTGGTGGTTGTTATGAGTGACTTCTAGTGATTTGCTTCTGCTATTCTTTCTGAATCTCACTAACGTATAATATATATATTGAAGAAGCTAGAAAGTATGCCCAGGTGCTTAGTAAGCTCCTCTCTTACATTACGTTACTACATTTAATATTCAGTGGAAACTCTTGCCATATATGTGTACATATATGTGTATATGTACATACACATATGTATATACACATATATATGTACATGCACACAGACAAATATTCTGATCTATACAGGCCTTCAATTGGAGACTGTCTCATAGTACACAACATATATGTGTATTTAATCACAGCAGTTTATTTCATTTTCACAGTTAAGCYGTCTTTAAGATCAAGTATTCTTATTAAAACAGTAATCTTTAAAATCTCTTCCTCGCAGTGAGTATATACACTGCTTTCTGGAGTAACATGATTTTTAACAGTAATAACATTGAGGTAAAAATGTATGTAAAATAACTCCACAATGGATGCACTTTCAAAGTGTTACATGGAGACCATGGTACAAAAGCTTGGGAGATAATTATCCTGAGCAGAAATATGCCTAGATGTTTGTATGCACAGTGTGAAGAAGACTCTAGAAATAGTTGATAATGGGCAAGGGTTTTTCCTGACTTTGTCATGCAGGTACAGTACCTGGCAGCATACYGCCTGACTTTACCTGAGGTGTGAACCAATATACCTTTAAGAGCTTTTTCCCACAATATGGGGCTGTCCAGTCCTTTCAGAAAAGGAAAAATTTCCTCTTTTCTCTGTCTGTCTTGCATCAAATTTAGCTTTTGTCTTTGTAGACAGTGCTATGGTTGGTTCCTTCCTACAGCACTCCAGAGCCTTAACCTTGTGTACACAGAGGTGAGAGACCATCGCTGTGTTATCAGGGCAGCCCTCTGCATTTCTGTAYAGGCTACAAAGTACAGCAGTACGTTTAGGAAGAGTTACTGGGAAAAAAGTGCACGGAATTAGYCCAGGTTCTGAGCTCAGGTTGTCTCTTCTCCATCATCATCCTTTAAACCACCGGTTATGCAGCCTCAGAAAGTTCATTTTGAGGAAATGAGCTCACATACAGAATTAAAATGCTAATTATTTTTACTCTTTAATTTTGGCCTATGGGTTTGTAATTAATATTTATATTTTTTTCCAAACAGTCTACCAAAATGAAATTTGAATTATCTTAGAATATTTTCTGTTTCAAAATTTAAATGAAATACAAGTGTTTATGTTAGCCATTGCCTTAACTTCAAGTGCTATTCAAGGAATACTGGGAGGGATTCTGGCTAGATTGAAACAGTGAAGACTTTGCTGGGGGTCCATGGAGACCAAGATCTTGCCTGTTTTCTCAATTTTAAGGCATATATTTGATCACTTGCTCTTTAATGATAAAGTCACGAAGCCCTCTAAGCAAAATGGTATTTTGGTGGACACAGTAAAATACTCATTAAGCCTCACATTTTTATAATACAACCAAGTCAAAGCATCAATTGCTTATTTGCACCTTTAGGAAATTATATGAATATTTTTAGATTCCAAATATCACTCTTAATGTGGAAACAATTAAGGGAATGCCATTAATACATTACTAATTTTTAATAAAAAATGTGAGAAAATAAAAACAAAAAAGGGTGCCAGTTTGAGCAGAATCAAGTTAAAACATGCTGCATATAAATCTTTGAAAGAAACTACTRTGGAAAGATTCATGTTACTCTAATTTTATTATTTACAGATTGAAGAATTTGCCATTCACTTTTACTAAACTTAAAGAACTTGCAGCTTTGTGGCTTTCTGACAACCAGGTAATGACTTTTTAATACTCATATTTTTTAATACTCGATTTGCAGAATGTTCAGAATGTTCAGTGTACCTAACAGCTCTCAAGCATCTCACTAAAATACCATAATCTCATCTTTCTCACCTTACAGTAATGCCCTGCTGCAGATATTAGATGTCTTTAATTGAAGTCAATCAGCATCATTCTCCAAGGCCCTATTTCGTGTCCCTGAAAATGAATCCCTCGTTCTATCCATGTAGAAGGTCAGCCGAGGCCCAGCCTTGTCAGGGGGCTGGGTAAGCTGCCTGTTGCCCCCTGGCCAACGTGTGGCAGCCGGCACTTGAACCATGCCAAACCAAAAGCACTGCATTGGTAACATACTCAGGCTAAGAAAATATTTCCAAAGCTAGATGGAGGGAAAATAAAATAGGAGAACTCTTGCATAATGAATATTTTTAATGTGTTAAATTAAGATTCTGTCCTTTCTCTTATTTCCATTTAAAAAAATGAAATTATATGAAGCCTATGCCCAACTACAGCACATAATGCATTCTTTTAAATATACAGTATTTATTCAGCRTTCTGACTTGCCTGCAGTTAGTGTAGATAAAATTGGGTTTTGTGAGCCACGACAGTCACTCCCGGATGCTACATTAGAGCAAAGCAATAACAGTCATCAACAGAACTAAAACACAACAGTTACATGGGGAGTGCAGGGCGCCTCGGGGTACGTTCTCCAGGAGCTGGCACCGGCATTATTACAAGATGAGCTAATGGCGATCGTGAGCTTGCTCCTCATTAACCCAAGCTTAAAATAAACCACAGCCGAACAGGGTGCTTTAACTGCGCTGCTACGGGCCCTGATCAGCTGATCCTTTAGCTTTCTCCCWGGTGTTTTTCTTCCTGTGCAGTCAGGATTTCTGCTCTTCAGATTCCTTCTGTTGCTCCCAGGAGAAATTACAAACACATCAGAATTGAGAAATGGGAGAAAAACACTTAGATCAAATTAATACTTGTTTCAGTCCACAAAGATAGGATTATTTTTATACATAATTTGAGCTGTTTGTGTAGCTTCTCCTTGTCAAATGCTGACATTCCATGTCGTTATCATACATGCTCCGGGTGAAATGCCTTGTTTTTCCTTTCTTGCACAGTCCAAGGCTCTCATTCCACTGCAAACTGAAGCTCACCCAGAAACAAAGCAGAGAGTACTGACTAACTACATGTTTCCCCAGCAACCCCGCAGTGATGAAGGTAAAACACCATCCACAGCTCCTGCGCAGGCAGGGATGTGTTGCAGTGCTTATTCACATAAAGGAGGTAAAACCAGAGGGGTGGAGAGGGGTGTGTAAATGCAGCAGTGCTTACGTAGCTGGTCCTGTTTTGTCGAACACAGAGGACACCTTCCATTTTCAGGTCACTTCACCTTCGTCCATCAGTCTTACGTTCTTGTGAATACTTCCCTGTTGTCAGAAGCAGGGCCTCGTATAAGGCCTGGTCATCAAGTTCCTGCGAGGCAGGAATTGTAGCATGTACCTTGCTGCTGCTCTCGGCTGCTCTCGTCGTCTGTCATTATTTGTGTGTTGTTTTTGCTCATTAATCCCCTCATTACTTCCCTTCAGGAGTTTTAAGACMACCCAAGATCACAGGATCCTCTAAAACCTAGTGTTTTTAGATCATTCCCAGTCTTTTGCTAGGTGTACTAATTACGTGTTCTGTTGGATTGCTGTTTGCAATTAAACTGTAGATTTCCCGTCAGACAGTGACAGTTTTAACCCTACCTTGTGGGAAGAGCAGAGACAGCAACGTATGACGGTTGCCTTTGAGTTTGAAGATAAAAAGGAAGAAGAGGAAAATGCAGGGAAGGTTAAGGTAAGTTCTAAATTACGTCTAATTTACACTGGTGCTTACAAAAATATGGACAGTGTCCAACAGACAGGTCTTGTGTTGAAATATTTTTGTGTTTTAAATGTGTAGATAATACTTGAAACTGTAACTCAAGCTGAGAAAGAACACCATATCTCTTCTCCCTGAAGTYTGCATTAATAGTTTCTGGATTTGCTATTGTTGTCTAGATAGCAAAAGCTTTTTTCCTATCTCTTTTAAGGCCCACAACCCTAATGTTTGCTTCTTAATGTGACAGGTGTTTTATACCTAAGACAACACAAAATGAGTTGAGGCAGAACATCATTTAATACTTCAGTACTTTGAATTCTATTCAGTTATGTAATATTTCAAAAATACCTCGATCGTGTGGGTGATTGCAAATTCTCTCCAAGGGGAAGCGGATGAAGGCTTTGCGGCTTGGTGGCACTAGGTGCGAGTGTGCACTAGTGCACTGCAGGAGGGCGTGGGGAACAGCAAGCAGCACTCCTTAGGCTCCGAACCTGCCTAAAAGTGAGGAGAATTGTCAAACCAGAAATCCTCCCCCACTCATCGGCAATTAATTCAGAGCTTCCAGCTCAGCCATTAGTGGCTTGTCCTGTCAGAGGGATATTATCAGGTCCTTCTGGTTTTAGCCTACCATGAAAATTCCTGTTTCTTCTGTGATATCAAGGAATCATGCCAGATCACACACCTTAACACTGCAATGTTTTAGCTGATAGATGATACCCAACATAGAAAGCATCACCAAAAACAGCATCATGTGAGATGAAAAACATATTTTAATTTAAAAACTAACAGCAAAATATATTCATTAATAGCCATTTAATTAGCATTCCATTTATCTTGGAAAACTTTGATTWTTTTTTCAATAATTTCTAATTTTTTCTAATTCTGAGTTTTCATCTAATTGCTTGTCATTAGAGTTAATGGACTCTTACCATTTTAGTTGAGCAGAAATGAGTCCAGGTAAGGAAAAAAATAAAAGCAAATAAATAAATAATGAAAACAACCTTTTGTCTCACCACAAATAGATCAGCCTGGCATTTTATCCTAGATGAACTGCCAGTGTAATGGTCCATGTATGGAAAACAGAGCATCTGAAAGAAGTTTATGTTGTTTCACCACCTATAGCCAGAGTTTTACCTGCAGACAATATGGCTGTCCAAATGTCAAAAAYAGCTTAAATAGGAACAGAAAATAGATAGATTGCTAAGGTGATAGAATACTTTAACAATATACTATTTGCAGGCACTGCTTTTAGTATTCAGTGTTGTTGTATCATATCCCCTGTATTAAAGTGAGGGTACTTGAGAACACTATGCCTGAAAATGGGGCCAAGAGAAAATAGTTGTTGTGGAGGAAATAAGTGCTCCGTAAGCAGCGTGCTGTTCCGTTGGGATGCTGCCATCTGCTGTACAGAGGACAGAGGCGGACGTAAAAGGCCAAGACACGAAGTGCCACATTTTGCTCTTCCTAGAAGCAGCCCTGAGTGCCCACAGCTCCGCACGGAGCCTCGGCGCCRTCCCGCCCAGCCGGCCGCACTGCCGCGGCCCACGCGGAGCCGCCGGGGCTGTGTGCGGCTCGCAGGCCTTGCTGCTCCRCTCCTCCAGCCCTGCTGGAGCTGCGGCCGGCGCCGGGAGCCAAACTGCACTTCCAGGCTGTGCCTTTGGTTGGGCTGCCTCGCGTGGCATCCGTCGGACGGCCCCGCCGCTGGCCTGGCCGCTTGTAGCGGAAGGATTCCTGTCCCCAGGGCTGATGCATCTTCTCCAGAGTGGCAGCCATCCGTAGCGGTTTGGCTTAGCCCTCTGAAGAGCTGCACAGCCCTTGTCCTTCGTGTCACCACTCCTGTGACAAGAGTGGGCATAAACAGTGTTGTAGTATTGGGATTGCTCTATTCCCATATGCAGTCCTCCCTTCCTCCACAATGATCATAACATCACTTCATGGCAACAAAACTGTCAAACCTCACCATATATATGACAAAAATTCTGCAGCCAATGCTATATAATTATATGTAATGCTATGTGCATTACTTATACACAGCAGAATTATTAAATAAGCTCAGGGCTGGTCAGAGACTTCGTCTGGTTTATGTGTCTCCAAGGAGCATCTCCCCTCTGTCCTGTCTCAGTGAATATACTCCAGATACCTATAAACACCTGCAGTTGGTAAAAACTGAAAGAAGGGAAATAACATGTTCAAACCAGGCATATCTTAGCAAGCTTTCAAAATAAAAGATTTGCCATATTTTTTTTCTTTATCAGAAAAAAAAAAACTTTTTACTCAAACCGTGAAAAAATAAGCTCAAATCAAATACCTAGTAAGAGGATAGAAATATCTGTTTCCATTTTCTGCTATTTCTGTGCTTTTTCCTAGCAAGGCTAATCATCTYAAATGCTAGAAAGAGTTATTTGAGCAGACTGTTCACCAGCCTGTGTTTAGATGCAGGAACATGAGCTAAAATCGGCCTTCTGGAACATTTTGTTAACTTGGTGTTCGCTGCTCCACGTGGTGGGATAGGTCTTGGGGACGTTCGACCACGTGCACTTCCAGCCATTGCGCCAGCCTGTACAGGATGGCCTTGAAGGTTATCTTCAATTATCAATAGGAGGTGACGACAGCCTAGGGTAGCTTTTGTAAAGCATACCGGGAGAGACTGCATGTCTTTCGTAGTTTAAATTGACTCTCAGCCAACTGTACTTTAAAATAGATTTGGCAGTTGATTTCTTCAAGAATTTTTCACTTAGCAAATTCTCTTTTCTGGGTCATGATACTTCTGAAGTAACATTTGAATCTACCAGAATTTTATAATGGGGGCACCTAGATTTTATCAGCAGTGGTGATTCTGCCTGCTTTTGGGATGGGTTCGGGAGGCAGCCGCGTTCCCGGGGGCCTCGCTGCTGCGGCGGGGGCCTTTCCGCTGCTGGACAGCGCGAGGGCCAGCGGTCGCGCGTGTTGCCGCGGCCCCGGCTGCGCCTCGGCTGTCCCACAGCGCGTCTCCCTGGCGGCTTCCTGCGGATGTGCTGGGCGACCTGGCTCCTGGCGGTGTCTGCCTGTTTGCATTGCGCTGAAGTCATGGCTCRGGTTTTGTGAAAAAGCAGCTGCCTGATTAGGCCACGTCTCAATGTGATTTCTTTCAACCTAAATCAATGCATTTTTTGCCGTTGAAATTGTTTTTTAGCATATGACATTTTAGCCATACATTTTAACGTTTTATGTTATGTCAGAATCTATTATCTGGAATATTATTCTATAGTGGTTCAGAGTTATACACCAGTATTTAATTTAGTTTTGATTTGCAGTTTGTCATGTTTTGCATCTAAGACATTCCCATCTACAGATCATATTCATTTGAATGCAAGATTTCTATTTTCCTGTAATGTAATAAAGTTAGGTATTGAAAGCAAGCTTCCTTTGCTTACTGCCCATGCACAGTGAGGTAGCACTGCGTTGCGCTGCGTCCTTGCAGGTACCTTCTTCTCCTCAGCTGTTCTTCCCTTCGCTCAACCCTGCAACTTTACAGAGTTGTCTTCAATCTGGGATTGCTTTGGGCTTGGTAGATGCAGTGTGCTGTACTTCTGACTGATAAAAAAAAATGCAAATTTGGATGYTGAGTGCTGTAGGAAAGCTATAGGTGTTCCAATCAACTGGAGCACTCTTCAGTGTGACTCGGTACCCTTGCTGTAGTGGTTTGAGTCTGTTTTCCTCTATTTGCTGTATCYGTAAGATTCATACACTCAAGTACACATACACATTATCCATCTCAGAGAGCAGATAGGTCCCAGTAGATGAGATTCTCATTTGTTATAGATAATTCAGATTAAATGAGTACACTGAACATAGCTAAATTAATTCTGCATTTATACCAATATTGTTATAAAAAAGTGTAATTTAATACGTTAGTACATTCAAGTTAAGTGTAGAATTAAAGCACAGTACTCTGGCAGGCTGAAAGAGCTTTACAATGAAACATATATTCCCATTCATTCTTTTGTGTCACTGAAGCTCTATGATAGATTGAGAGCAAATTTCAGTCGAAAAATTTAAAAAAAAAAAAAAAAAAAAAAAAGGACTGAACATAAGTATATGGATTGCCTTACCCCAAATACCCCAAATGGATTAATTCTAAAACTGAGGACTTTGCACCTAACCATAGTACTATAACCATAGTTTTAGTTTGCCTGTCGTTTTCATTTTGTCTTTGTGTTTTAATTCTTTTTATGAATGTTCAGGTTGAAATAAATCTAAAACGTTATCCTACTCCATACCCGGAGGATTTAAAGAATATGGTAAAATCGGTTCAAAATCTGGTGGGCAAAACAAGCCATGGAGTACGGCCTGAGAACTCAGTACCAACTGTGAACAGTGAACAAACTGTGAAAGAAACTTATGAGCACAAGTGGCCCATGACACCAAAGGAGATTTCAGTGGAGGTAACGTAACAGGATTCTTGTTCCTTTCCAGAGTTCAAAATGGGGTTTTAGTGCGACTCCATCACACGACACTCTGCATCTCTTGTGAATGACATACCTCATAGTTTCTAGTTTCATTCATTAAAGTTAATTTAGACTAAAGTTAATTTATTTACTTTCTCCTAACATCTCTCCAGAGATCCTCTTTTTTGGTAAACGCTCTTTTCCCCAGGTATTCACCCTCTTTCCAAAGCACAGCTTGTCCTGCAGCTCCCAGGGCCATGCTGGTTTCTCTCAGCCTTTCGCACTGTGAGGTGTCACCTTGTTCCTTGCCATCCGTTTCCCTTGCGTGACCCCTTCCTGAGCCCTTTGCACTAACACCTTCTGTCCACACAGCGGGGTTCCTGTCTTGCTCATTTTCCACTCCCTTTCCCCAAGCCCCGAAGAGGGGACGATTCCTGTATTGTTCCCTTTGGGAGGGTCTTCCCTACCCACTCCCCCGAGGTGCCTGTCTTGCATCTTTCTCATTTCTGAACTTTCTTCCGGGGCGGGTTAAGAAATGGCACTGAGACACTGTTTGGTCTTCATTCCTTTCTTCTGGCTATGGTGAAGCCTAATTTAAATGCCCTAATTTAAGTGCCCTAATTTTAAATCCCTCTTTCTAAGACCACTGTGTCATTTTCTTTTCACTTTRCGACTCCCAGTATTTATAGCATGTGTCCTGCTGCTGGCTGGAGCAGGAAGGCTGGTGTATAGGACAGCTTTGAAGGCTGACGTCTGCCGAGCTCTCCATGAGAAGTCCGTGAAATCACAGTCACTTTAAGCTAAAAAAAAAAAAAATGTTTACAGATGAAATAATTTGGATTTAATGTAGCTTTAGGAATACCTGAATAAGTGGAAGAGCTTTTGACATCAATAATTCTTAGGAATTCTTAGTTCTGAAACATTAAGAAAATGGTTACTGTGTTTTTTTTTTATTGTTTCTACTGACAGCTTGCATTTTTGTGACTTCAAAATGTTTATGTGGCCTTGACCCACCTTAAAAGTTTCATCTGTTTTGCTCATATTTTCAAAACAAACATATCACAGTAATAGTGCAAGTAATTGCTGCAGAACCAACTAGAATTTTCAGCTGACAGATCAGTGTGATTAGACACGCTGCCTGTGCGGTGTTTCGGTGTGTTACTGCCTCGGTTAAATGAAAGGCTACGAAATGTTTGTTTGCTGCAGCTAGAAGTAAGTTCTGTTTCCTGTGTTYATTCTACATCATTTTATTCCTCAGGATGCCTATGGACATCCTGCCAGTGAGATGAGGATAGGGGAGCTTCGTCCTTCCATACCAGAGACGCCGCTGTACACACCTAAACTGGTTCTTCTGGGTAAAGAGAAGAAAGGTACTAACTTGACTTACAGTGAGTTTTTAGATGAAAGCATATGTAATGTACACAYATAGATAAGACAAGGTATAATTCTTAAGATATTCTATGCTTCACTCATTTTAAAATACATTACAGGCATATGTATGCACATACGTATTTCTGTGTTCTGCACATATGTATTTCTATATTCATACTGTGATTTTAAAAATGTATTTTTCTGGAGTTCTTTTACCAAATCCTACCTGCTGAAAATGTTTGCTGTGTTTTGTTTCAGAATCCACAGATGAATCTGAAGCAGATAAGATGCACTGTCTGAACAACAGCGTTTCCTCAGGCACTTACTCAGACTATTCCCCTTCCCAGGCTTCCTCAGGGTCCTCCAATGCACGTGTTAAAATGGGGTCTTTGCAGACAACGGCTAAAGAAGCAGTGAATAATTCTTTGTGGGGGAACAGGTGTGATCACGTTTCTTAACACAACTTCTTGTTGCCCTTTGACTTTTATTATCATATGAATTTAGGCAAAGTGGTGGTGTGCTGTCTATAAAGACATCCAAATCAAAATACAATATTTAACCCAGTTTTGTAGAAGCGTGCAGAGATGTACTCAGCCGGGCTGTAGAGAGTTAACCCCCATTTAGACTGTATAAGTACCAGTAAATCTACAGCTGTTTTTTTCAGCCGTATGGTACAACCATGCATTAAAAGCACCTAACAGTTCAGCTAGAATTATTGTGCTCCATGTGATCCTGAGCTGCAGATAGCTGTTTTTAGCACATTTAACAGAGTTTGTGATTCCTATTCAATTCTGTCCTGAACCTTAATTTTCCCTGAACATCCAGGCATAGTACAGGTCCTTGGAAGTTGTTGTGATTTGCGCTGGCCATCAGTAACATTAAAACACTCATAAACTGTAAAACGAACACCCTGTTATATCTGTTCCAACTGTAGGTTGCCTAAACGTAGTTCCGTCTTAAGAAATCCACAAGCTTCTCATCATTAAACCCAAAGGCTGGAGCCCACTCACTGGAGATGCCTAAAAACTGGGTGGTGAGAGCAGGCACAGATGGAATCTGTATTTTTGTTGCTTTTTTGTTGTTGTTTTGTTTCGTTTTTCTTTTTGTTAAAGCAGATGTAAAAAAGTATCCCCTGCATTTACAGAAGATGGTATTTAATAAGTTAGGTTTAGTTGCATTTATGTGAACAGAAAGCATCGAGCCAGTTAGGACTTTGGACTCACTTTGTTGTTTCTCCATGTATATATTTACAGCTTCTGTACTTCAGTGCAAAAACTGTTGCAGACATTCATGCCAAATCAGTGGCATCCAGAGCTCATCTCAGTATGATCCGGAAGCCTAAGTATAGATGGGAGAATATTAAAGTGCTTTATAAATGTGTCTGTCCGATGATTGCTTATTTTTTTAATAGAGGATATTTTATCTTGTTTTGCTTCGCTTTATTTTTGCAGGCTGGTGCAGTCATTTCCTCAGCCCCTTGAAACAAAGCCATTACTGAGCCAGCGGGAATCTGCTCCAGCAGGAAACCTGCCGCAGCGCAACGACAGGCGCCCCATGAGCGACACCTTCACTGACAGCTGGAATGATAGTTCGCACTACGATAATACAGGGTTTGTGGCAGAGGAGAGCACAGTGGAAAATCCCAGTGCTAACCCTCTGTTAAGCACTAAATCTAGAAGCACATCTGCACACGGACGCAGGCCGTTAATTAGACAAGACAGGATAGTTGGCATTCCTCTGGAGCTTGAGCAGCCTACACTCAGAAACACACATGAATCTGAAGTGCCTCCTTCCAATCCTTGGCAAAATTGGACCAGAACTCCTAGTCCTTTTGAAGACAGGACAGCTTTTCCTTCCAAACTGGAAAACACCCCCACCACCAGCCCTTTGCCTGAGCGGAAAGATCATGTCAAAGAGTCTCCTGAAATAGCTAGCACTTTCACTCCAGGAATAGCTTGGGAATATCATGATTCAAATGCTAACAGAAGCCTCACAAACGTCTTTTCGCATATTCACTGTCGCCCAGAACCTCCTAAAACTGTTATTTCAATCAGCAAGAGTACAGAAAGGCTTTCTCCGATGATGAGAGATTTAAAAACTAATAAATTTAAGAAATCACAGAGTATCGATGAAATCGACATTGGTACATACAAGGTTTATAATATACCTTTAGAAAACTATGCATCTGGTAACGATACTGTAGGAACCCATGAGAGAGTAGACAAGCTCATCGGGCAGGAGCACGGCCTGCTGAGCATGTCTCGCAGCCAGTCTGTGCCCATGCTGGATGATGAGCTGCTCACCTACGGGAGCGTCAAGGTGCAGCAACAGCAGCAGCAAAAGCCTTCTGTGACCAAGAAAGTCTATCAGTTTGACCAAAGCTTCAATCCCCAAGGAGCAGTGGAAGTCACGGCAGAGAAGAGGTTACCGCCGCCTTTCCAGCACAATCCCGAGTATGTTCCCCAGCAGAGTAAAAACATGCCCCAGGACCTGGTGAGCCCGAGGGCCTACCGTGGCTACCCACCCATGGAGCACATGTTCTCCTTCTCCCAGCCCTCGGTTAACGAGGAGGCGGTCAGTGCCCCRTTCGTGAGCCAGGGCTCGAGGCCGGGCTTTCTGAGAAGAGCCGATTCGTTGGTGAGCTCCACTGAAATGTCAATGTTCAGAAGAGTGAGTGAGCCCCATGAGCTGCCTCCGAGCGATAGGTATGGCCGGCCTCCGTATCGAGGAGCTGTGGAGCGCCAAAGCAGTATCTCAGTGTCTGAGTCTCAGTTCCTCAAAAGGAATGGCAGGTATGAAGATGAACATCCTTCATATCAAGAAGTGAAAGCCCAGACTGGCAGCTTTCCAGTTAAAAACCTTACCCAAAGGAGGCCATTGTCTGCGAGAAGCTACAGTACAGAGAGTTATGGTACATCCCAAACCAGGCCAGTTTCAGCTAGGCCTACAATGGCAGCTCTGCTGGAAAAGATACCATCAGACTATAACTTGGGTAACTATGGTGACAAGCCTTCAGATAACAGTGATATAAAGACAAGGCCTGCCCCTGTGAAGGGAAATGAGAGCTGTGCTAAAATGCCCGCTGACTGGAGACAACAGCTACTTAGACATATAGAAGCTAGAAGGTTAGACAGGGTATGTTTGGCATTTCTCTGCAATTAATGCCTTTAGTTGTGTGTTTTGATATTTCCAACTATTTGCACGTAGAGGGGTGAACATCAGAATTCCCAGTAATGAGATTCCTGCATTTTGTGGTAGAGGAACTGGCCTGTAAAGTTTTCTGTCAACACGTAAAATCAGCTGGAGATAGGGATTCTTGGGTGAATGAATTATAAAGAGTTGCTTTAAAAGTAATTTACCACAGTGCTCATTGGTAATTCAGCATCTGCTATAGCACTGTCTGAAATACTGGAGAAAATCTCTTCTTATTAACAGATGTGAATGTGCTGCTGAAATCCACGTTTTTTGGTAATGATTTGGGAGCTTTAAAACATGTGGGATACATCTTGGCAATAAAAGATAATTTTAGAAATCACGGATAAAAAGTAAAAAAAAACCTACTATTTTAACTATTCATATCACTGTCAGTGGAGGAGATTTAAAGATATATCTTAACTTTGACGAGTGTCACAGAGTATGCACTGCCTCTGTTTTTAACAAGAAATGCTGTTATTACTCCTTTAGCAATAGAAAGTTATGCTTATTTACCTGCTATACAAAGTGTTGTAGAAACGCTGTGCTGCATGATCTCTACACTGATTTTGACTATTCAGTGACCTGCTTCATGAATCTGGGTTTGCTGCATAAACTGAAGTGATGTGAAAAAAATTGCTATGGTCTGATGCATAAATTAGTTTCAGGATGTGACCGTATACATACTTTTTGCTAGGTATTTGTGAGTCTGGTATTAACATATTYATTACATTTTGGGTCTCAAATACTGTGCATGTTAAAATATCATTAAGGATCAAATGCTTAAACTTTAAAAATCAGCTTGAAGGCTGAAGCTCTTCCCTGACTTCAGCTATTTTCCTTGTGTTGTGTAAAATTGCTCGCAGAATAGTGCARGCAAAGTAGAGCAGGCTAAGTATGGAGTTTATGGTGGAAATCTGTGTTTTCCACATGTTGCTTTTTTAAGAACTGCCCTTACACGGTGCGCAGGGAGGGCRCGTGCTCCTGCCTGGGCTGTTCTTGCGCTGCCTTTGACTCCCTTCTATGCTAGATTTATGCTTCTGGCCCATCCATGGTTGTGCAGACATACCAAAATTTGGCCCTACTTGCAAAATAAAGACTTGTACCATGTTGTATACTGTGAATTTCAGATTACAGATAACGACATAATTCATTTGCTGTCAGCGTTGAAGTCTTTTTTATGGTATCCATTCTATGTACAAGTAGCAATGTATTTGCTTCYGTCTGACTCAGTGCATGCATCAGAAAGCTATTTATTTCTCGGTACTGTTTGTTTGCTTAAACTAAAACTTTGTGAAATTAACCATGTATGTGTGATACTTGATTCAATGAGCATGTGTGTTCATATCCTGTCACGTGGTTGTTTCCTTACTCAGACCGCTGCTTACAAACACAACACAGTTAGCCTTGGCATGCTGCACTCTGGAGGGTTTTCAGCAATGCATGCCGGCAGAAGCATGACTTTAAACTTGCAGACTAAATCTAAATTTGAAAACCAAATGCTTCAAGAGCTACCTCTACAGAAAGTAAGTATGGGATAGATGGCATATACCAGCCTTATGAAATAAATTGTTTGCTTTTTCCTGGTTTAGCTTTGCCTAGTCTTCATGCTTATACTATACTCAATCCCAAAAGCAAAGTTGATGCTAACGCAGTTTGCGTAGTCAATAACCTTGCTTTTTGGACTAAGTAGCTTCTTACATGGCTGTCATTACTGCTTTCTGCTCTTGTGTTATAGACCGACTGATGTGATCAGTGTTCTATTTCTCAATGTGATAATCTGTGTATGGAACTGCAGAACATTTTCTGTGTTTGTGACTTTTTAATCTTAAAAAATTAATATAGAAATGTCTAAGATGCATTTGAATAGGCTCTGAGAGACAGGGGTTTACGCATCTGAACAGCAATTTGGGTATGCTGTAGTATCTGATAAGCTTTGGGGATCTGCCTACTGTCCCTAGAATAATTCTAAATTTTTGTTCCAAATAATGCATATAGAAGGTGGGKTTTTTTCATTTTTGATGCTTATTTCACAGCTATTAATGATATGTTGTTGATACATCCATACATATATGTTGTATATAAATACATACGCGAGTATTTTAAWAAGTTCAGGGTGTAGGAAGGCCAAGCGACACGTTGGTGCGGCACTCGCGGAGCGCCCGTGAGGAGGTGCCCCGCTCGCTCCGAGCCCCGCGGGAGGCTGCAGGGGAGGCTGCGCGCAGAGGCCGCCGGCTGCGTGGGCGCCTGCGCCGCGCCGCCCGGGCCCCGGGGCTGCTCTCTGAGCGAGCAGGCGGCCGCAGGGCGCGTTTCCCATGCTCATCATGCTGTATTTTCTCTCCAAAAATGTTTGTGTGTTTGTACGTGTRATAGTTCTTGTCACCAGTCCTTGCAAGGGGTCCGTCCGGCCTTACCTGCGAGCAGTGTGACTGTTCCCGAGCACACGTTTCGGAATGAGGTGTTGCAAACTAGTGCAAAAAGTCAGGGGAAAAGCGGCGATGGCTTCTAGATACGTGGGAGACCTGCCCGTGGGCGTAGGAAAATGTGTTCTTGGCTCTGCTCTTCTGTGAATTACTCTGCTCTAAATTTCACCAGTGTTTCATTGCTACAGGCCCGTGTAAAATCTGATGTGTGTAAAATGTATGAAAGGGATGTAATTCTTGTACGGTTTGGAAAGCAAGAGAAAAGTTACTGCTGATGAAATAATTTGAATGTATAGAATTGCTTAATTTTAGTGCTGATAGAATAATTTGAATGTATAGAATTGCGTAACTTTTCATTCACATGTTTTAGAAGATTTTGCATTTCTCGATGAATCCTGGCCCCTGCAGTTTATTATGTATTTCTTGTTTCTCTTACCATGACCTAGAATCAGATGGGCAGTGAGTGAGTCTGAGGGTCGGGCACCTGGAACAATTCCTTGTGCTGGGAGACGTGAGCGCGTCGGGGCTGCTCCGGCTRTAGCACGCTCTCGCTGCTGGCTCTCGATTTTTTTACCCAGATGATGGGTAACTTTTACTGCTCTGCAGTCTCTCCAGGCTCTGCAAATGAATAATACTGCGAGCAGATTAATGCACTTCACTGCAGGAAGTGAAAAGAAACCCTCCTCTCACAGGACTCCCGTTTCATTCAGCAGGCAGCGAGCGCTCCATGTTTCCCCTTTTGGCTGTGCCTCTTCACTCACCTCTGCAGGAGGGAGGCAGATGGTTTTGATCAGTGTCAGGATTCCTTTAATTCCGTGGGGATTGGTGAGCGTGGGTGCCACGGGGGCGGCTCTGCCCGCTTGCCAAACAGCAGTTCCCAGGACGTGTCTCTGCAGGACGAGCTCCCTTGGGCAGCCGCCTGCCCCGCGCTCTCCCAGTGCCTGCGGTGGCTCGGGGCGCATGGAGTGCTTTACAAATCCTCCCCGGGAGGGGACAGGTCTCCGGGCAGCCTTGGGCAGCTGGGGCTGTGCGGGAGCCCGGCGGGGGCCTCCCAGCACAAGAAGGCCCGTTTGCGCTTTCCTTTTTTTATTCTTCTCAGCACATCTTTCCTCACTGTGTTCTGAGTGATGGGAGAATCAGTGACACCTTTCTTACATTTCAAACTAGTAAGGATGGATATTTTTACTTAACCACTGAGGAATTTGATTCAAATCATGATACTTAGTTTTAAAACATTTTTAGTCTTTTTTAAAGAAGTCCTTAATTGACCAGTTTTCAGCTTGAATATTTCAAAGACACAGTTTTGTTTGTTCTTCAGTCATCTGAGGAAGTGTTTCATGGCTTTTTTTTCCTAAGAAGAAKAAGGTACTGAATGATGGGGGAAAAAATAGACATTTCTTTTTTCTTTGCAGGTCACCATTTATTAAACCTTGAATAAGCACTTCCTAGTGCTAAGTGCTGTTAGCAGTGTTATAAAAGTGGCACTTTGAAAGGACTGGCACATAAAGCAATATCTGCACGAGCAAAATTTCCACCTAAATTAAAGAAATACAGACAAATAACAGAAAATCCAGTTGGGGCAAAAAATGGACACATGGCCTCAACACTCCTGGAAATATCAAGTGAAATACTAGGTGAAAAATGTTAACGGAGAAGACGTGTCCAAAAGCAGAGATAATTGGAAAAGAGTAACAAAAGTAAAGTTCTCATTCAGGAAACTTAAATGTGTGTTATGTCCTTTCATATCCAGGGGAGCGTTTGCTTACTGGTTAATACTGCAGGTATGATAGCCTGGTAACTTGAGCAGAGCAAAAACAGTCACAGCCTGGAGAGGCCTGTAAGAGTGTATGGTACAGTGYGACATGGAGCCGAGCTCGAGGCATGGTAGTCAAAACTTCAGTACTGTCATTGAGGAACATTTTGTAAAGAAAATATGGGTGTTTAATTCAATATTGATGGCAAATATTTAGGGTTTTTTTTTTTTTTGATATTTGATTGAGCAGTAAATTCTGTTTCATAGTTTACTATTGGTAAACTATGTGGTTAAGTATGTGACTTTGGCTAAGACTTATTCTGAAAATAATAGTTCATGTTAAATTGATTTCCTCTTTTCTCTCATTATTCATTCTTCTCATCGTTTCTGTAAAGTTCTCTTATTTGCAGAGCCTCATGGCAGTAGGATTACAYGGTAACTAAATGCCGCAGAAACGAGGATGCCTTCCAGTTTGGAGTAGTGTGTTGCAGTTAGCGGGGCTGGTTGCTGGAGGGAACGTGACGAGGTTTCCGTCGCGCTGCCTCCTCACTAACGGCTGCCGTCCCCTTCCGCACAGAGCCCGTCGCAGCAGAGCAGCGTCCTGGACAACGGGCAGGAGGAGGTTGCGGCGAGCGGCCCGTGGAACCCCTACCCGCTGGGCCGGCGCGACGTGCCCCCCGACACCGTCACCAAGAAGGTAAGCGGTGCCGTGGGCCGGTGTCCGGCGCACCGACCCCTACCTTCCCTTGCAGCACCGGGGAAGGAGGAGGACAGGTCACTGGGGACCGCTTTGGGACACAGGTATTTTCAGTTCTGAGGTTAATGCAGCAGTGGCTCTGGTTTACAGACCAGCTTTTCAGGCCTGATAGCCCTTTTTGTGTTCATGTGTGCAGGTGCCAGTTGTCTTGCCACACGCAGAATGGGCACAGGGGCTGCAGCAGCTCTGCTCTCACCCACGTCGGAGAGTTGTGAAGTCCGTCTACCCTGAAAATCCTTCATTTAATGGCTTCATTTTGGTTTAATGGTGTAATAACTTAATGGCAAAAACATAAATGTGTTAAGATGGAGAGCAGCTCCACATCTGGACAGTCACAGACATGTCAGAGGCATTCTAGACAGCACATCATTTGCTGATGAACTCTCTAGCAAGTTGGAGAAGTGTTTTCTGCAGTAAGAGATCAGCAGCTGTGGTTTCTAGTACCTTGTGGCAGACTACGAAATTATAAACTTCTTGCATCTGGCCTGTTCTGTCCAAACCCTGGCTGCTCTCATCTGGCCCCTGACTTGGGCCTGAGAAACCAACCACTTTTATATGTTCTAGTCACAAAACTGAAGGATCTTAATGAGCTAAACTGCATTTGCAGTCAATTTCAGAGGATGGAGCTGCACGTTTAAGCAGTGATAATTATTTTGCTTGTTGATCTACATGGTTTTGTTTATTCCTGCAGTAAAGTCATAGAAGTGAGTAAACAGGTGGGAAGATCATAATGTGCATATTGATTAACTGGAGAAGCTTGAGTGATTCTCAGTGCTCATGAAGCACTTTTCCTACTGACTTGCATTCTTTTTTTTAAGATGATTTTAATAACAGCAGCCCTTGCCTTTACAAAAGCAAAACAAAAAAAGTAGTGAAAATAGATAGTTCACACATGTGCAAGAGAGTTGCCTGAAGATGGAGACAGATGTACCTGGAGCAGCATGGAAGCTTCTCCTGAGGCAGAGGATGGTGAAGAGGAGGGAGAGCAGCCCTGTGTCATTTCATGGATTTGGCTTTGAGAGGAAAGTTATTCAAAGAGTTTCTGTATCCTCTGATGCACGAGAAGTCAGTCCATCATGAAATTGAGTTCTGACATGGCATAACCATACTGCAGTCTGCTCACCTCACTGGAGCAATCTGTTGTTCCATTTGTTGTCAAATACTTTAATTATATGATAAATATTAGACAGTGAGCTGAAAATAATTAACTTCTGTAGTGGATGTTAAATAATGTAGAGAATGCAAATGAAACCAGGGCAACAGTGTGCGTAGGAGAGAGGATTCTTTTGCAGAATAGATAAATCCTGTTTCTAAGAAAAGGATTTGTTCTCAGCTTATCCGCATCCAGCAAGAGCTGCAGTGTGAATACACAAGAAGTGTGATATGATCTCCTCAAAGAAAGCCTATTAGCAGGAGTGATAGAATGAATTCTGAGCGTTACTTACCTGCCATTCTCAGCAGGTGGTTTGCAGGGTGTTTTTATGACAGTGCTAATCTCTTTTCCACTGAAAGTAACGTCAAGTGTTGGTTTTCCACCATTTGGAGATTAAAATACAGTGAGTATTTGAAGTCAGACTTGGAAAATGTTGTGTAGAAATGAAGTTCAACAAATGCTATAGTATAAACTGATGTATGCATTGTGTTTTTCCACTAACATATTTGCACTAGTTCTAACGGACAAGTAATAGGCAGAATCACCACCTAGCAGAACTTCACATGGGAATCACTGAAGGAATCAGTTACTGGGAATCACTCATCCCGGGGACGAGCACGGCAGCAGGCAGGAGCACGGGGTGCCCTGGCTCCTCAGCGATATTGAGAGGTGCCATCAGGGTGTGCCTAAAGAGCCATAAGCCTGGTTTGCATAGAGCCATGGCTATTGTGTATGGTGCGTGGGGTGGGAATGCTACCTGGTRGTTATCACTACAGAATTGCATGGTATAGGAATGGTTGGTGCTCTCCTTTTGACTCTTGACAATACAGATTTAATGGCAACTTTAATTTAAATGTGCTCATTTATCTGATCACCCTCAGGCAATTGATGGGTTATTGTTTGTTAAGGTAAAACAGGATATTTTAATATTTAAATTGAATAATCCACTGGTAGGTTAAAAGATTACACTTATGCTTCCTGGAAGAACCACTTATTCTGACACAGCAACAAGACAAAGGTCAACTCCAGGCTTGTTAAATCAGCTACAGTCTGAATTATCTGCTTATCCAGAAGAGGAAGGGGCAGGAGCGTGGAGAGGCATCACTGAAAGGAAACCTCTTYGGTTGGTTAGGTGGCCTCTTAGGAAGAGACAGGCAGAAAACTGGGCAAAGATGGAAGAGGCAGCGCAGGCAGTGCGGGCGGGCGACACTGCCGTGTGCACAGGGGCCAGCAGGGCTGGGCCGCCCCATGGCTGCCCCATGACCACCCCAGTGCCCCCCAAGCTGCCCAGTGCCGGGGCCCGCAGCCGGGCTGCAGGAGGGGCTGCAGCACCCGCTGCACAGCCCGAGCGTGCCGGCTGCTGCAGCCAGCGCCGGCAGGAGGCCTCCAGCTCCACGCTTCTCCTCCCTCCTGGACTGCATTTCTGTCAGCCACCGCTGAGAGGCTGCACGCTCGCTCTTTGTGTTGTCTTTCCAACATCTGCTTCAGTAGCCATTTTTCAGCAAAGAACCCCAGTCTTTTTGCATTTAAATTGTCTCTTTCTTCTGCAGCACGTGGCGCTCCTGCCGCGGGCTGATCTAGGGATGCCTTGTGGTTGTATCTGGGCCAGGTAGTGCAGTTGAAGAGATTCCACGTTTTCCAGGCCTCCTGTGGTGAATACTTGGCGCAATGTGAAGTACASAGCCGTGCTGCATGCTTTTCCTGTGTGGCTTGGATCTCAGCAGGGTAAAGTGACCCTCATTCAGTAATCGCTGAGRACATGGCTCGTTGCCCCCAGGGAGCTGGGGAACAGGTTAAAGTTCTGTCTTGGGCATCAGATTCCTTCTCATCTCAGGTGAGCAGAGGATCTTTCTGATCTGTAAAGTGGATATTAATAGCACAAGCTTCACAAGTTTATTGTCTTGAAAAGCGCTTTCACATCCACAGATGAGTTGTTATCTAAAGAGTCTGAAGGTTGAGAATTTGGACACCAAAAATAGAGATCCCTCTGTCATTACCCACTTAGAGAATACCACAGGAGAACCTGGTATCTGAATGTGTGTGAGCTGGTCCTGTTGTCCAAATAGAGCGAGCAGAGAAGGACAGAGCAGATGAGCTTTCCTAGCAGTCACTGTGAGTATTGCTGCRGTTTATATTCAGTGACACAAGTAGCTCCAGCTCCCTGTGTTTATATATTCTGCATAGATACATTCTGCAGAAAAATCTTGGCAATCTGTTAACCTGTGTTTTTCCTGTGGCAGCAAGCAGTTAATTCTGGCAGCGCGTTCAGTGCTGTTAACTTCTGAAGCCAACTGTTCAGCCAGTGGCTAAGAATCATTTTGACTGGGGCCGTTGGCCAGAGTGTCTCAGAACGAAGCCTGGTGGCAGTAGTGCTGTGTCCAGGGGGACGTGGGTGTGGAGACCTCACATGATGGTGGTCATTCGTGTTGGGACTGTTCACGTAACAACACAGGCTGGTGAGCGTGCACAGGGTGAAAACTGCCAGCAGCAAGTGCTCCATGGAGGCAGGAATATCTCCCCGCAGAGCAGACTGAATTTTCATCTTGCCTTTAGTGCTAAGGTGTGTGCCATTATGTGTAAGCAACAGCAGCTCGGTCTTGTAAATACAAAAAAGCCAGAGAATGCTTTTGCCTTCTTTTTCTTTTTGGCAGTGATTTGTCTCAAATGCTTATATAATTTGTGTGCCTGAGCTGAGACTAGGCAACTTCACTCTGTCAAGAAGAGAGTAGAAGAGAAAGCAAGTCTTACCTGTTTAATCACAAATTCCAAAGGCACTGGGAATGGAGGGCATGGAAGAGTTATCAGTCATCCATTTTCTTCTGAAAATATTAAAAGACCCCCACCAATGTAAATTTGATATTTCACTTATGTTTGAAAAATGTATGAAAATATATTACCATATTTTCATATTATATGTTTTCATATTACATAGGAATATTCAAATTTCAAGAAATTGTCATAGAAATTTGGTAATGTGGTTAGTTACATATTATGAATTGTAAGATTTTATAAAAGACACATTTTTCTAGGGCAGGCAGCGACATTGAATTTAATCAGCTGTGTGTGTGTTTGTAGACAGTGCACAGCRGTGATCAATATTTATATTTGTGGCACTCATCTTATTCCAGACTATCCTCAGAAGTAAAATATTCCAGTACTCAACAATAAGCCTTCAGAGTGTGCTCTGAGAACCAGTCCACTATATTTTATTATATGTTTCCAGTTCATGATTTTTTTGAGCAGAAAAAATGAAATTAGGAAAAAGGTATTTTCCATTTATAAAAAATGTTGTGTGATAATCTTCCTTAAACATCCTAGGATCACTAAGTGCAATGGACAGATCCTTGCCGCTTCTAATCTCAGTTGTTCCCAGTTGTGTCGAGGGGCAAACCTCTGCTAGGAGTTGGGGGGTTTGCTTTTACTTGACTCTGTAAGTTGTAATAATTGCTTCGTTTCAGCTTCCTGAGTTTCTGGCCTAACGGGTTACGTTACCCACAGGCAGGTAGCCACATCCAGACTTTAATGGGATCGCAAAGCCTGCAGCACCGGAGCCGCGAGCAGCAGTACGAAGGGAACATGAACAAAGTGACGATTCAGCAGTTCCAGCCGCCGCTGCCCATCCAGATCCCGTCGTCGCAGAGCTCGCGCGCAGCCCCGCCGGGGCGCTGCTTAATCCAGACCAAGGGGCAGAGGAGCACGGACGCCTATCAGGAGCAGGTGAGAAAGCGTGGGCAGAAACTGCCTGCCTGGAATCGTGTCTGTTTTTCTCCTGTCCTGCACATAGCACTTAGAAGTGGGGCCAGCACAAGGGGCAGGCGCTCAGGCGTGGGGCTGCCTTCGTGACAGGTCTGGTCCCCTTCCCAGCACCAGGCACTCACTCCACTTTGTCTTGGATCAAGCAGGCCAGTCGGTTTGTCACTGAAGTTGCTGGACAGAGCTGCCATTCCCTGCTCCCACTGAACTAACCAGCAGTTTCCTCGGATTCCCCAGTAACCTAGTTGGGGGCTGACAGGGCGGCGTGTTCGGAACCCCACTGATCTGGGTGGGCTGCAGCAGTTCAGTGCTAGGAAAGACCACCAGCAACTGCAGTGCGCCCAGGTCTAGGAGGGCACCACCAGTGCCCTCATTAAGCTGTCCTTTCCCAAGGGTGTATGACCTTCAGGTTTGCAGTAACTGAGTCACCTGGCTTGAGGACTGGGGTTCAAAGCGTTCCCTTGTGTGAACAAGGATGGCACAACCGATGTAACTAACTGTRTTAAGTCCCTGAGTACAGTGCTAAGCTACAGAAGCTGTGGCGCGTGCAGCTCACGGTGCTTGCTCACACCAGCTCAGTAAGAGGTGTTAAGCTGCACTGAAGTCACTTTAAATTTCTGTTCCATTACCCGGTGCTGTTTATGGTCACCCTGACTCAAGGACAGTAGTCAGCTCCATACTGGAGGGAGCCACCTGTAACAGGTTGGTGCGAAGGGCTGGCAGCCTCCAGGGCTGTGGCCCTGCTGCAGAGCCCAGAGCCTCACTTTGCTTCTGCCTTTGGCTTCTCATCAGCGTAGCACCAAGGATGCTGCGGGGATGACACAGGCCGGGAGGGAGTCATCTTTGGCCTTAGACCATTGCTTTGCCTCCTGGCTGCACTGAAGTAGCCTGTTTTCCTTCCAGTGTCTTTGATTGTAAAACTAGCAATACACTGCAGCCTTTATTTAGTTCCTCAAACCRTGCCGTGCGTATCCTTGTAAACAGTTCTTGAACTGGGACTGAGGTTACCTGGTCCTTGGTCTGCTCATCCCCTCAGAAAATCACCTGCCTTGTGCTCTGCAAATCAATGTGACTTCTTCACTGCTTTCAAATGCTTTTGTTGCTTTCAATTTGCTTCTCTTTCCTTAGGAACTCCCTATTCCATGGAAATAGAATATTTCTGTGTTCAACTATCCTTAAGTTTYTGTTTTATAGTTTCAAAGAATTGCATTTGTGAGGGAGCTGGGAAACTCTTTAGTCAAACAACCTGACTCGACTCCGGGCTGTGTCCAGTAAAAGGTCCAAGGCTGGAGATCCTCGAGCCTCTCGGGGCCTGCTGCAGTGTCTGATCTGTACCGTTTCCATACATCCAGCTGGAATGTGTCTGCTTCAGAACAATGCAGCATGGACACAAACTGAAACACGGGAAATTGCACTGGACTGTAAGTGCTTCTGTAGTGCCAGGTGCTTGGACACTGTGCCAGGTTGCCCGAGAGCCCGGGGAGGCTCCATCCTTGGAGATAGTTGGACTCAGCCCTTGCAGGAGGGTCAGCTCATCTAGTTAATGATGGAGTGGAATATGTGAAAAGATCCTGTCGTGTGTGGAATTGCCCTTAATATTATTACTAACTTACCTTTCTGTATTTTCCATTTTATCTTAGTTCTGTGTGAGAATAGAGAAGAATCCTGGCCTCGGTTTTAGTATCAGTGGTGGAATAAGTGGACAAGGAAATCCATTCAAACCTTCTGACAAGGTAAGTTCAGAATTTTTCCATAAATGGTCTTTATTTGACAATGCTGCGTAATGGTGATGGAGGATACAATGAATAACATTTTTAACCACTTCTGTTGTGATATTAGGAAGAACTTGTTCCCATACTTTTTCTTAAAGAAGAGGGCAATTTTTTTAAAGGCATTTTTTCTTAAAGAAGTGGGGTTCACTTTTGGTTTATGGTTACTAAAAACAAGGTTTTGTTTATGTTTTGAAAGTGTTTGACATATTCTGTACATAAGGTAATTTTTTCAGATTTTTTGGAAGGACACCTCTCCCATTTTTTTCAGAATAAATATAGGCCCTGATTAAAACCTTTACTAAAGTCTTCACTTCCATGTAAATTTGCTTAAGGCTCTGCTAAGAACTAAAGCCGGTGTGTTTTTAAGACAGTAGCAGTGTCGCTAGAGAGCAGGAGTGCTGAGGTTTGCAGCAGCAGGGTTGAGACACCCCTGGCCCGGGCGGTTGGGGCAGCAGTGGCCGCCCTGGGGCATCGTGGTGAGCAGCCACGGCCAGGCCACCAAGCTGGGTCGTCTTCTGTAACTTAATTAGCAATTAAATGTGAATTGAAAATTAGACTGTTCTGCTGCATGCTGCTCAGGGGGACTTCTGTAGTATTAAGACTGGTCCAGCTTTGGGGAGTTGCACATTTAACACACGGATTTTACATGTGGGTTACTGTAAATGGTTAGTGCTTGCCCCAGTTTCACTTGCCTCCTGATAACCATGTTTCTCCTGCCTAGTTTCTAGTTGCACTGTTGAAGTTACACATTGTTTTGTGAAGCAGTCTCTTAGTTTCAGACGAACCACAATTGTATTTTTATCAGGAGACAAATAGCTAAGGTCCTGGAGAGCTACTGCAGACTGGTACTGCTGTTTGGCCTCTTATGGATTTAGAAATGATGAATGTTTAGAGCATTACCAGATATAAAGCCTCCAGACCATCAAGTAGGGAGACACCTGTATTTTGGGAGCTAGTTCTTGGTGATAGCATCCTAACCTCTGTTACTTCTGACTTATAGGGTATCTTTGTTACTAGGGTTCAGCCTGACGGACCAGCGTCCAGCCTGCTGCAGCCTGGCGATAAGATCCTCAAGGTAGGGCTCAGTTTAACTGCTTTTATACTGAATGGACATACAGAGCAGGTTTTGCACCTCCCAAGTAGAGTGATGCTGTTRTCAGTTCAAGCTAACTGCTCATTCTATTGTTATGCTGCTTTACTTCGATACTGATTTAAAACCGTGTTGTAGCTGCAGTACTTCTGAGAGGTCAGAAGGAGAGGATAAAGCTGCTTGAAAACCCCAGGGGAGCGTGCGGGAAAGGAGGCCCGGGCGGTGCTGGCAGAGCCACCCCAGCAGCTGGACACTGGGGTGAAGCCAGAGGAGATGCTGAGAGCAGAGCAGGGGAGCCCAGCTGTCCCAGGCACCCCTTGGTGGCTCCTGTTCCCTGGGAATGGGGAGTGGGGACACGTCAGGCCAGCACCTCCTTCCATGAGGGAACCACCTGCAGGGGGTCGCTGCTGCTTAAAGTCTGTCATGGGAGCAACCAGGTGGCAAGGCCTTAAATTAAAGTGTCTCTTGCATCATCTCCAGCTTTGCCACGCTAACAGCACAAGAAAAGACAGAACAGAGTCTCACAAGCAGCTTCATGGGCTTAAGTGCAGGACAAGGCAAGATGGGTTTCTAACCTTCCTCCTTGCAGCTGAGGTGGCACCAGTGTAAGGAACTGTGGTCACCGAGAAATGCACCTTGCATTGTTTTCGCCTCTCCTTCATTGCCTGCTTTAGAGTGTTCTTACATGAAAAAATAGCCCTTCTACTGGGTAATGGAAGCACTTGAATAACTCACTGCAAAATCTCAGTGTTTGTTTTCTTTCACATTTCTGAAGCAAATGTTTGTTGTAGTCAAACGCACATTTTAAATAGAAGTGTTGGGTTCTGATCCAGAGAGAAGACAGCGAAGCTGCTTGTGAGCACCCTGTTGAGAAATGCCTCCCTCCCAGCACGTTACGGCTGTCCGTGCGAGGAGGGGTGCTCAGCAATACCCTGCAAGGTGCTTTTGCAAGAGGAGAGAGTCATTGTAGGGGTGCAAGAGGCTTGGAACAGCTTGTAAAGCCATGCAGGTGCTCAGGGCCTGGCGGGTAACCGTTCTAACCAGGTAGAGGAAGGAACTGAGCCTGCCCAGGGCGTTAGCAAATGCTCCTGCTCCCTGCCCTCCCTTCTGTCCTTCCACCCTCTCCACCTCTCCCAGAGCACAGTGGTTTTAGTCTCCCTCCCACCAGCAAATACCCTGCTTGGCTCCTTCGTTGTGGGCTTGCACTCCACTTACTCGGTTGCCACAAAGATATTTCTCTGTGAAATTATTATTATATATAATTGGTTTGTATGGGACCATGCAGGAACAGGCCCTTGTGTGTGGGTACCCTTGTGCCCTTGGCAAAGACAGACCCTTCTGCGCCACGTGTGCCCTGTGGCTGCTGCTCCCTCCGATGGTTCCAGCTCGCTGCCCAGGGCAGGGCAGGGCTGCCCGTCCCCTCGCAGCTCCCTGGCCYGTCCCTGGAGCCGCCCGAAGCCCAGCCGGCGAAGGCAGCACCGCGGGCGCTGCCGGGCCCTCRGGACACACAGCAGCTCCCTGCATTTCTGATCAGTTTGATCTGCTGCTTTTTAAATGCTGAACAAGTAGCTRGATGGGGATGGAAAGGGAAACAAGCTGCAGAATGGCAAAACGTGTCAACAATGAGGCATATATAGGCCATAAAGGTGGCCGGTGCAGAGTCTCTGAAATGGAGATTATTCTGCCATTTCTGTCTGAATTACATCAGGCCTCAGAGCGGCCTCCTGATGTTGGCACCTGAATGAAACCTTCCCTTGCTGAACGCTGTATTGCTGTGTCTCCGTACAGAAGTGCTCGTTCCCACGGGCTCTCCAGGAGAGGTTCCAGGGCTCGGCTGGGGCTGCGGAAGGGGCAGCACTGGGTGCAGCCCGGCGGCTGGTGCAGGCCGAGCCACTCGGTGCCAGGGAGGGGGCGGTTGGGGCCCCGGCGCCGTGCAGGGCTGGAAGCGCCGCCGGCTCCAGGGCCCCTCCTGGGCTCCCATCTCCTCGGGCCGCATCCTGCCGTCCTCCCCAGACGAGGGAGCCAGCTCGAGGCTCATCTGATTTCTCTTCTGTTTTTGTGTGTTTCAGGCCAATGGACACAGTTTTGTACATCTGGAACATGAGAAAGCTGTACTACTACTGAAGAGTTTCCAGAATACAGTAGACCTAGTTATTCAACGTGAGCTTACTGTCTAAATATTTTTTTATAAATAGTAAATATGTCTAGCCAGATCTAATGCTCAAACAGATTTATACATAGAAAACAAATTTTTGCCAATTGCTGGACCAATGGCAAACAGTAGTGCCAAATGTATAATACTCTATGTTAGTACTGATCATCTTGAAAAAAAAATATTAACTATATAAATATATTGTTCATGTGGCTATGTATTAGTTTTAATTGTCAGCCTCTGGCTGTGCATTGGTGCGTTTTTTTAATCAAGTTACTTCTTAAAGTCAATTTCATATAATTTCAAAACACAGAAGCACATACAAATTCTTTAGGAATTCTGCTGTCCATCAGAAACACTGCCTCAAAGTTGTATATGCCTTTATAAAGATAAAATATAATAATAAGCTGTAATTCCCATGAAATATTTCTATCATGTCACATACAAAAATAGAGAAAAATATTTTCATAAACACCTCAAAGAAAGTATATATTAAATTAAATTAATGATGTTAATTTATTTTCAATGCAAAGATATTATATGCCTTATGAAAATAACTGTACATATGCAGTGTGTATAGCTGGTTCCATACTAATTAGTTAAAATGTCACTATACAGGGTGAGATAATAAATTAAACTGTCAACTCTGGGACCTAGATATAAACAACCTCTATGAAAAGTCATCACCTTCCTTTTGTCTGATACTTGTAGTGGATTCCATGTGAACGTGTTAGGTGCAGCCAGGGAGTTAGATGCGGTTCGTAAACACAAGGAAGAAGTACGGGATGGGCGGCAGGGAGACGTTCTTCATTCTTAYGGATTCCTTTGTTTTCCACTTTTTAATGTACATTGTGGGCGCTCTGCCTGCGCTGCACAGCCCCCGTGGTTTCCTCCTGCTCCAGGCTCTGGTAGCCCCTGGTCTCTGGAGTCACTGTGGCTGAGGCTGGATGTTTATGGCAAGTGCTCAGCTGAGGGACGGGCTCCTTAACGTGGGAGCAGTAGATTTRATGTGAGGTGCACGGCGAGGGGACAGAAGGACATTGAGGAGCACTGCAAGGCTTTCCCGCCCAGCTGGGCTGGTTAAAACCTGAAGGCGGAAGTTCTGGCGATCCTTAGAGTGGAGAATCCTGACGGTGCAAACTCCTGCTGCACTCCTGCTCTTTCAGCAATGCAGGCGGCTCTCGTGTGAGAGCAGGAGGGAGAAGGTGAGACCACAGAGTCCCGCAGCCACCGCGGGTTGCACGGTCGCAGCTCACCGGCCGGGTCGGAGCGCAGCCGAAACCCAGCTCAGACAGAGGCACCTGAGTGGCACGGTCACGGCCCCAGGCACCGGGCTCCTCCTTACAGGAGCCTCTAGAAAAATTTAAACCTTTCCCCTCCTCCTGTCCAGGGTAGCCTCACTGAGGTAACTGTATTTTGAATTCAGACAGTGTTATTTCAAAATATAATAGTGCCACTGTCTCTCAGGCCCTGTCCTCGGTAYAAAGGGCCCATGGTGAAGCTGTGCCCTGATCACAGCAGGTGGAAGGAGAGGAGCTGTAGAAGATGCTGCTGGTGGTGAAAGGCAGAAACGCACCGAGTGCGGCCAGGGCTCAGCGCCCCAAGCTCCTTAGCAAGCGTGCAGAAAGTGGCAGAAGGTTCAGAAAGTTCCTCTTCCGCGCTTCTTCCATTCTGCTTTCCATCCTCAACACGAATGATTATGTTTATTAGTATATTTATGTTTCTTTAGTATATTTCTTAGTATATTTAAGTTTATGAGTATTATGTATGAAACAAACTGCAAGCCGGCTGAGCAGGGTYTTGGTCTTGGTAAAGTGCCGTGGCTGGGATGAGGCTCATGGTTTGCTTGCTCTTGGGGTCGTAGGGCTGTCGTTCCGCAGTGCACCCTCAGTGCAGAGGGGGTACCTCCAGCCTCGGCGTTTCTGGCACACCTGAGCTCTCTGCAATGGCTTTAACTTTGAGGCACTCCAGAGGCCACAATTTCCATTGCTAAGTCCTCACTGCCCTTTTAAAACTAATTTATTCAACATCATGTTAAAAAATAAAAAGAATTCACAGGGAATTTCAGATGCCTATCCCATTTTCAGTTAACTGCATAATTTAGGTCCCTTAGTTGGCCTTTGTGCCCCTGAACTCCTGCCTGGAAGAGCCCACYTTGGCGAGCAGGAGGAGCAGGCGCAGGGCAGGGAGCACTGCGCACTGCGCAGGGCCACCCAGTGCAGGCACCGCCGCAAGAGCCGCGCGCTGCCCTGCGCTCCAGTGGGAGC